TCTGAATCTTTTATTGATTAAATATGATCGATCTGGTTCTCCGTGATGTGACCCATGTAAATTTGTGCATGCGTTTGTCTGGAAATATTATACCGCCTATAACCATTTTGTTGAATGCACATAAATTTTCTAATCTGTAACCATTCTTGTTCCTTTCTCCCAGCCCATGTCGTCCCATGATATCTTCATACCCAGTGTTGTCCATTACGACTTCGACATCTGAGTCTCCCATCAGAACGGTCACGTCCTTTCCTGGGCACTTCGCTATGATTGATTTCAACCTCTCGTAGAACTGATCCTTATTGTCGTCGTTGCTATCATTGGTGGGTGCATAACATTCATTGTGATTCCCACCTTTATTTTGAAAGATGCTTCGATGATCCTGGGTCCACGAGATTCATATCCTGTAAGTGCTTCACATGCTTCTTTAGATAGCATCGGAGCAACTCCCTGTGTGTGAAAATTTTCTCAATGAACAAAGTACAGCAGCGTCTTTCTCGAATCTATCGCTTTCTGTCCAGTTTAGGTCCGATGGATTTCACTTATTACGAGCACCGTCAAGTCGTACCTCCTCATGTCCACAGCTATTTGACTGATCTTCTCGGTTTCCCACATTGTCCGAACATTTCATGTATCTATATCAATCGTTGCTCTGATTAATAGAAGGGGCATCAGTCTCGTAACTTTCGAAGAATATCGACTTTCAACATGAGGTGTCATAATTCTTCCTTCAACTCACAGAGCAGTTTTAATTGTTTATTATGGTTAGTGTTTTTATCTAGCAAGGTTGTTTTCTACGCGACGGGGTTGCCAATCGCATGCCCAACCCTCCTCCTTTACCCGTGCTTGGGATCACCTTAGCCCTAGAAGGGCTACAGGCTTAGTTAAACATATTACTGCCTAATCAAAATGCCCCCAAATGCCCTGGTATGACCAAGAGCGGGGTGGGTTCGCTTTCTCTCTCGAAATACTCTCACACGGCCACGCGTATACAGCCTCTGCCAGAGAAGTCCTACTCATTGCCTTCTAGTAGCGGGGGTGTTGTTTACGAAAATGAGAGGACGAAAAGCGAATGTCCGGCGATTTAACTGGATTCCAAACCAAATCAATGGTGCACACGGGCCCCAGTATCCTGCGGGAAAAAATGGGTAACTATCTGAACTCTGACCATGCTTTGGTCTGCGCCAATCTTACCTTACTTTTCAGTGGACAACGAAGTGACCGCCAACAACGGATTGATATTAGCAAGCTGATTGCAACTTCTGTTGCTAGTAAGTATCGAACCGAGCTGGCTTCTAGGCTAGCTACCATTCCACCGAAAAGTATAGATGAGCATTGGTTGCAATTGCATGACGCCATGAAAATGGCGAGTAAGGCCTCTTGCGGCTTCGCGAAACGTCCCGCTTATAAGCACCAGGTTTCTTCAGGTACCTTACAACTTATTGAAGCCAGTCGGTCTACTCCGAGTGACCGTGAGTTTGACCACAAACGAAGGATGTTACGTAAGGGATTCGAGCAAGGCTTGCGTAAGGACCAAGAAGCCTGGTGGTCGAAGCGTGCTAATGAGTTGGAAGCAGCAGCTGCATCTGGTAATTACCGGAAGCTCTTCCAACTCATCCGAGCCACTGGCAGCAAGAAGTCTGGTGTGAGCGAAACAATCTGTGAGGATGATGAGATACCATACACTAACATCCAACGACGTCTTGGACGATGGGCAGAATTCTTCGAAGGGCAGTCCAACTGGCCTGCTGCTCCTGCAACAACGATCAGACTGTCCTGCCCTCCATGGCCGACGACGACGACTGGACCACAAAATTAGGCGGAAGTCCGCAAGGAACTTCAACTCTTGAGGCGCTACAAATCACTAGGCCCAGATGACTTACCTCCGACTCTTTTTAAAGATGGTAGTGACTTTCTGGCTAAGGAATTGACGACGTTGTTTACAAAGGTTTAGGAACTAGAGAGTGTACCAACGTCATGGAATGAGTCGATAGTTGTCCCTATCTTTAAAAAAGGGTTCACGTCATTCCTGTAACAACTATCGGAGGACAGGTCTACTTCCCATTGCGTCAAAGCTATTGCCTTCCGTCATATTTCGTAGGTTGTTCAAAACTCGAGAAAGATTGACTCGCAAGGAGTAGGCTGGGTTTCGTTCTGGTCGAGGATGTATTGATCATATCTTCACCCTACGCCAAATGTTAAAACACCGTCATACTTATCACAGGTCAACAATCGTAATGTTTCTTGACATCAGGGCTGCCTTCGATTCGTTGAATAGCACTGTTCTCTGGGATTGTCTACTGAAGAAGGGTGTGCCTGAGAAGTTTATTAACATCCTAAAAGCCCTATATACAAACACCTCAGACAGAGTGAGGGCATACAACCACCTCTCTCCATTGTTCCATTCAAGCAGTGGGGTTAGACAGGGTTGCCCAATCTCACCATTCCTCTTCAACTTTGCTATCGACATTCTGGAAACAGCTCTGATGGATGTAAGTAATGGTGGTGTGGATCTGTTGCCTGGAGAAAGACTTCTCGACCTTGAGTATGCAGATGATATTGTCTTCTGTGCGATAATGCCCAAGGCATGCAATCCGCACTTAATCAGTTGGCAATCAGTGTCCGTAAGTATGGTATGTGCTTTGCACCTTCGAACTGCAAAATACTTCTACAAGACTGGCAGTATTCTAATCCTGTACTCACCCTGGATGGTGAGCAGATAGACGTAGTCGAGAAGTTTGTGTATCTGGGTAGCTGCATAAGTGCTGGTAGTGGGGTCAGTGATGAGATCAATGCACATATCGTGAAAGCCAGAGCGACTTATGCCAATTTGGGCCACCTTTGGCGCCTTCGTGATGTTAGTCTGGCTGTAAAAGGTCGGATCTACAACGCGTCGGTGACAGCAGTCTTGCTCTATGCTTGTGAAACCTGGCCTCTCCGAGTTGAGGACGTTAGAAGACTCTCTGTGTTCGATCATCGCTGTCTCTGAAGGATTGCTGACATCCAGTGGCAACATCATTTTAGTTATGCAGAGGTTCGGCATCGTGTGTTCGGACAGAGACGATAATTCAATTCGTGTCACCATCTTCAAACATCGACTTCGGTGGTTTGGACATGTTCTACGAATGTCGTCACAGAGAGTTCCACATCGTGCATTATTTGCCGACTCTGGGACTGGTTGGAAGAAGCGGAGAGGTGGTCAGTGCATGACATGGTGTCGTGTTATGAAAAAAAGCTGCAAAGGACTGGCTTCTGTCGGTCCTTCACGACTCCCTGGTTGGGGTCCGAGAGATGATGGAACACAGTGGCTAGAGACGTTATCAGAAATAGCTCATAGCAGAAGCCAGTGGCGATCCTGCTGTAACCTTCTTTTACTTTCTTCATAAGACGTGGTTGTATCTTCTTAACCGAAAGATTTCTTCTGGTTGTACCTTTCTGTTTCTCCCATTATTATTATCATTACTACACCATCGTACACTAATCTGTTCTTTTCCTTTTTTTTGTTTTACGCTCCTTACCTTCTTTTGCTTCTATTCCCGTTCCCGTTGTTTTGTGTGACGCATATATATTTGGTGCCTCCTTGTACCAATATTTATGTGTTCAAATAAATAATACTAATCATAATTTAATTATTAGAATCTAGTTATATAATACAGGCATTTGTTCATTTCGTATATAATTTACTGAACCAAAACCACAGTACACTTCCATATACTAAATTGTTAGACACATTGAGTGTACCCTCAAACTGAATTGGATAGACAGGTAATCAAACTCGCGATATCGCGGTCAAAACATATTGCTTAAACTATTAAGATTCTAAAAGTACTACCCTGTAAATCACAATACATTTATAGTATAGACTATTTAGTAGTAAAGTGTATTACTTAATGGTTGAAATTTACACTTGACAAGATGAGAGTCATTTGTTACTACAGTAGTTCAGACAGCGGTGTCATAAGGTATACCGGTTAATGACCCAATGTCAAATCTGAGATCAGTTGCAAAAAATTCGACCCAACGTTAAGGAGCGATTAGAATTATCAAGTAGCGTACGTCTCACAAAAGTTAACACGTACAGTGATCAATGATCTTTTCTATATTTTATAACAAATATATTTTCTCTGGTGATTTCATCTCAATAAATAAACTGATAAGTAGTTAATTATTTAGTACATTATACAAAACTATATTTACTCCATTCGATGACGGATCGGTGGACAAAATATCAATTAACAAACTGAAAAATAGTTTATCTCGTTACCATCATCACTATCCTAAAAGACTATTTCATCCTGGTATTCAACAAGTCAATCACTAAGATTTAAAGTAGTTAAGAATTAGTGCTAAATTACTTCCAGACTTTCTTATAAGATCGAAACAATTGCGTGTTTTGGTATATTACTCAGGAGTGGTACTAGTATTCATATGAATGACAATAACAATAATAATGGTAAATAACGAACATATTTAAACCATTTTCAAAAAGTTGACTTTATATTAACAAATATTTGATAAAAAGTTCATGCAAAATAAATTCCACAAATTATTAAGTTTATTAATATCGTTAGCTTAAAAGTATTTCTTACACTTACAAAACTGAACAACAGTCTGTTTTTAATATGAATTAAATGAAATAAGAAGTGGTAGTTTACAGTTAATTCCAGTTACTAAAACAAATAAGTACACATGTACAACCAATTAAGTTAACCACCATGTCATACAATTCTCAATGAACAAAAGAATCGTAATTTGACTATATCAAATTTAATAAAAGACTCTATAAGTGGACACAATGAACAAAAACATAAAAAAAGAACAATAACACAAAGCAATAGAGATCAGCAACACAGAAAAAGTAGCAAAATTAGGTAATAATGAATTTAGTTAGCGGAATTATCATCAAAGTATGCCAGCAAAACACAATATATTGTTTTCTTTTAACAATCGTTATTTGGAATACATCGTGGATGAAGATGGATGTGGGGGAGAGAAGTTATTCAACTGACACTGAACAGATAGATAAACAGAAATTAGTATTTACGTTTTCATACATATAAGTTATGCGATTTATAAAAAAATGTATTATGTGGACAAAATTCTAATCAAGTAAAATTACACGAATCACATGAGAAATAAAATAAATCACGATATAAATGTCCAGTGGTTTAATTTGAAGATAAAAAGGTTTCGGACAAACATCCCAGCCGTTTAAGTTTATCTGTTCAGGCTATCTAGCAAGAACTTTACAATGAATGGCAAGCAAACGGAATTAGAGTTTTCAAAATTAGTTATTTTAGGAGATACAGCTGTCTGAATCGATGCCCCTTATGACAACCAGAGCAACCACTTATTTAGGTACATGGAGTGCTCGTGCAATGTGGGAGACCGGGAGAGTCTTCCAAATTGCTGCAGAAATGAGGAGGTACAACCTGGAGGTGTTTGGAATCAGTGAAACACATTGTAGGCAAGTTGGACAACAACGACTAGCTTCAGGGGAGCTTCTATTATACTTCGGCCATGAAGAAGAAAATGCCCCACATAGATAGGCAGTTACATTGATGCTGTCCGAACAAGAACAAAATGCACTTATAGGATGGGAACCTCATAAACTAAGGATCATCAAAACCTGCTTCAAAACAAAGAAAGAGGGCATTACAGTGAACGGCATCCAATGCTATGCGTCTACCAACGACTAAAATGAAGACGTTGAAGATCAATTCTACGATAGGCTGCATTCAATCGTCGAGAAGTGCCCAACAAAGGACTTGACCATTTTGATGTGAGACCTAAACACCAAGGTTGGAATGAAGAACACCGGATATGAAGACATCATGGAACGACATGGGACAGGAGAAAGAAACGGAAATGGTGAGAGATTTGCAAACCTATGTGCCTTCAACAAACTGGTCATTGGCGGCACTATATTCCCACATAAACGCATACACAAAACACATGGACTTCACCGGATCACACTACACAGTACCAAATAGACCATATCTGCATCAACAGAAAGTTCAGAAGGACAATGGAGGGTATGAGAACCAAGAGAGAAGCTGATATAGCATCAGATCATCATCTGCCGGTCGCCAAGTTGAAATTTAAACTTAAGAAGCACTGGAAACGGGGCGGACAACATCACAAATGTTTAATACGGATTTCCTTTGGGATACTGACAAACTCAACAACTGGAACTCAAAACAACTGTCAACCAACACCAAGGTCAGGACTTTCAATACAAATGTCAAGACAGTTCTACTGTATGGGACGGAAATTTGGAGAACTACGAAAGCCATCATCCAGAAGACACAGGTGTTTATTAACAGTTGTCTACGCAAAATACTTCGGATCCGTTGACCGAACACTATTAGCAACGACCTACTATGGGAGAGAACAAACCAGATCCCAGTGGAGGAAGAAATCAGGAAGAAGCGCTGGAAGTGGATAGGACACATATTGAGGAAAGCACCCAACCACGTCACAAGACAAGCCCCCACATGGAATCCTCAAGGCCAAAGGAGAAGAGGAAGACAAAAGGACATTTTACGCCGGGGAATGGAGATAGACATGAGAAAAATGGACAAGAATTGGATGGAACTAGAAAAGAAGTCCGAGGACAGAGTGGGATGGAGAATGCTGGTTGGCGGCCTATACTCTCTTGGGAGTAACAGGCGTAAGCATGCAATCTGAATACAAACTGGTAATAGTTGATATACGACAAATGAGTGACCGTCTAGTATGCTACATTGTAAATCATTATGTAATCTGCTCGACCAAAGCCATAATCTTTAGCTCCTGTGGAATGTTACAACGAAACAGATATAATTGGGATTCCGTAAAAAATCTTACTAGTTTAACTATCTGTTTGATTAACCTTAACTGTACCCAGTAGTTTTGTCAAGTAGATTAAAGTTTCATAAAAATGGGGAGCTACATGGCAAGTTAACAAGTAGAAATGCTTCAGAACTCTAGTAGTGTAATAAAATTTGACATGAAGTAACGTTATTTTATTACTGACCTACTAAACCGAGGAGTAACACCTGATAATTACAGTGAAGTTAACAACTGGTTAACAATTTTAAATATCTGAACGAGTAGAGTATGCTTATTTCCAATATGTTTCCTCGAGGTGTTTCTGATAGGATATGAATGAACTAACTTCTGCACTAAACAACAATAACCATATAAATACGCCCTTAGAAGCCTTTAGTTGAAACTCAATCTCCTCAATAATGAAGCAAAAAGATATGGATACGAATGTCCGAAATAGTATGTCATGAATTAGTATCACTTAGTCTTCTCTTAAACGACTTTACTTTTAAAAAATGTAATATAAGAGGTGAATTTAAATAAAAACAATTATTCATAGTGTGTTAAATATAACTGTTAATACAAACGTAAGACAACTTAATTACTAGATTCAAGGCCTACATTATAAATGATCAAACCTTAATTTCTCACTACAAAGTAGCATAGGTTATTGGCTAATAGGTGTTTATCTTCATAGCTGTGTTATGGTCACTTAATTTTGTATTCCTTTAAGCCAACTTCGTGACTTATAAATTATTCGCATGTCGAATTCGCCTAACTATCAGTCACCAATTTATTCCAAAGATATCAATGATTTTTTGAAGATTCGACCTATATATGACGAACTTGGTTATGTTCACTAACATCAGATGAGCTGTAAATAGTTTAGCCACTTAAAATCCTTCATGTACGCTACAGAAAACAGAATGGCTATTCTATTCAACGTAATGATGATGAGTACAGTTAACTTTGTATAAGACATTTGAATAACTAATCATCATTAGTTTGACGTCATACATACTGTAATAAATTTATCAGCGTGTTAAAAAGTTCAGTTTTTATTGATGCTTTGGTATTTTAAGAGAAACCCATAACTTTCAACAGGATGAGTTGTTTATATTTCAGGAGTACTTTACTACGTTGAGAGAGAAGTTTAATAGAACTTTAGCAAGAATTTTGAACAACTATATGTTAGTTGTAGAAACGTAGACGATAAACAGCTTTCTTAAGTTGCTTCAGGATAAGAGAATAATAATAATAAGTGACATTTTAAGATACATAAAATATGATGCCTTTCATGATAAACTATAAAATCCACAGCAAAGTGCTTAATTCAAAGAGACAAAGAAAAACGTAGTCACCAGAATTAAATAATTGTCCTAGTTTTTTTAAAAAAAACTTTGACTACTTTTATCTAGATTCACCAGAACAGAAACTTAGCAGTGTGTATGACTCAGATTTGGAGTTGTGAATTTAAGCACTTTCCCATGTACTTCCACCTGGACAACCACGTGATATCAGCAGTCTGTTAAAGAAAGAGTTGTGAATTAAAAATGATAACAAGAACCGGCAATTAGTTACAAAGCTACATTGCATCATAATGTGAAAGAATAATTTATTGAACCACAACTTATTTGGATAGCATGCTAAAGAAGATGGCGTTTGTTTTAAAAATTAATAAAGTACCCTGAATTATCGGCCTGAGGATATACATTCTCATTAACGGGAAGAATGTTTTTTTTTTAAATGTACCGAACAGTTCATTATGAAAATGATAAATTCTTACGTGCAAGAGACTTCTGATATACTGTTATCATCGTTTCTATCATCATCCTCTCGATAAGTATTTCTTCGTTCCTCTTGTCCTGGCTCTTCTCGCTCACTTAATGTTTCATTTACTGTTGACTGTGAATTGATTGAATGAACTTCAATAGGGAAAAAATCAATTAACCATGGAGTAGTTACAACGTCGGTATCAGAAAAAGTGGCACTAATTGGTATTCTTCGTGTACGAATATGTCTTATATGTCGACTATGACTAGACTGTATTCGACGTGAACGATTACGTCTACATTGTGTATTCTTCTCTACTGAAGTAGTATTAGGCTCATCATCATCAGAACTCAAATCACTATTGAATATGATAGCAGCGACTGATGGTTGAAAAGAGGTTTCTTCATCAGTTAAACTTCCTGTTTTTGTTCGTTTTTGCTTAGGTGCTTGAGAACAGCCTAACTGACAAGACAAATCAATGGATTCATTCCCAGTACGTTTTTGACTATCAGTTTGACCAACTCCTTCAATGCTTTCATTCACTAAATTCACGTTATTCAGAACAGATTCACTGTGCAATGTGTCGTCAAGACTTCCAGCAGGATGATTGGCATTAGTATACGTTTCGTTTCCAGAAGGTTGCAGTGCAGAATAAGAATCTCTTTCGAAATTGATGTTGTCATGGTTATTATTATGATCATCATCGTCATCATCACTGGATTCATTCTCTTCTTCGTTATTCCGTTCATCAGTACAATCGCGATTTCTCGATCTTCTAGCTCTATTAGAATCAAAATCAAGACCACGAAAATTATAACCCATATTTAACAACATTATTTCCAGAGGATCAGCGTTAGAACGTTGTTGATTCCGTTCAGCTGCTCCAACTTGATCTCTAACAACTCGTGATTGATCAGGGTCTTCCTGGAAATAAAAGGTCACATTGAATATTCCTCTTAACAAAAATAAATAAATAGATACAAGAAATTCTTTCTCAGATGAAAAAGACGAAAAATCTGTTTTACTATAGTCAAATTCATTTCAACTCTCACCAATCAGGAAGTCGCAACAAGGGAAACAATTTATCTTTACATAAACGTGATTACGGTTGATAATAAACTATGTAATTCGTAAACGAAGCTATTCAAAAATGTTGGCATGGTGATTACCTAAGTATAACGACTAAAATTAGATTATCATTGACATACTACTCAATTTTTGGTGATAGTGATTCACAATGATATCCAAGATCATGGTATATATAGTTTAAAGGCTGTTAGACCACAAACATAATTGACTTGACGAGCTACAGTGAAAGGTCAGTGTTTATCATGTGACCTTTAATTTGCTCTTTTACTAAAGAACTTTTACCTAATATTTAAATTAGTTTTAATTTCCTGATACACATTAAGTTAGTCAGTAGTTCTGTATTTCGGAATATGTTTCGTTGAGAGTCGAAGACGGCCTAAGTTACAGCAGTTTATTTTTATCGAATCAACCGTCTCATTATAAAAAATGAGTGAATCTACAAATTCCCCTTTAACCTTTATTTGAATGGTGTTAACTAAGAATACAAGACCGTATCGAAAAATGTCGATTATTTCAATGTAGTAAGTTATGAAACTCCGCCTGTAGCTCTTATAGGGTTACTGCCGGTTCCAAGCCCGGGTAAAGGAGGAGGGTTGGGCATGGGGTTAGCGTCCCCATCCCGTAGAAAACTAACTCGCTAAAAAAACGTTTACCAGAAAAAATAATCCAAACCATTTTAACTCTGCCCTGGGAGTTAGGTCTTCATTTAGAAGAATTATGACGATTCATGGTGAAAGCCGAGCTCCTTCGGAAGCCACGAGGCCGATTCCCCTTCTAACAACCAGAGCAAAAAATTTTATAGGTACATGGAACGTTCGAACAATGTGGGAAACCGGGAAGACCAGTCAAATATCAATGGAAATGAGGAGATACAACTTAGCAGTACTGGGAATCAGCGAAACCCACTGGACCCAAGCTGGACAGAAAAGGCTAGCTACGGGAGAGATGCTGCTATACTCCGGTCACGAAGGGGAAAATGCTTCACACACTCAGGAAGTCGCTCTTATGCTGTCCAAAGTAGCACGTTATGCACTTGTAGGATGGGAATCTCACGGATCCAGAATCATCAAAGCATCATTTAAAACAAAGGAGGGGATCTTAATGAATATTATCCAATGTTATGCACCCACCAATGATAGCAACGACGACATTGAAGATCAGTTCTACGAGCGGCTACAGTCAATCATTGAGAAATGCTCAAGGAAGGACCTAACTATTCTGATGGGAGATCTAAATGCCAAAGTCGGAATAGACAACACTGGATATGAAGATATTCTGGGACGACATGGACTGGAAGAGAGAAACGAAAATGGAGAAAGATTTGCAAATCTATGTGCATTCAACAAATTGGTCATAGGGGGCACAATATTTCCACACAAGCGTATACACAAGGCCACATGGATCTCACCGGACCACATCACAGAGAACCAGATAGATCATATTTGCATCAACAAAAAATTCCGAAGGGCAATGGAAGATGTGAGAACCAGGAGAGGTGCTGACATAGCTTCAGATCACCACCTAGTTGTGGCCAATTTAAAACTGAAGCTAAAAAAGAACTGGACAAGTGGACAAACAGCAATACAAAGGTTCAACACAGCCTTCCTTCGAGATACTGACAAACTCAACGAATTCAAGATAGCTCTCAACAACAGGTTCCAAGCCTTACAAGATCTACTGAAAGAAGAAGAAACTAGTATGGAGGACAACTGGAAAGGCATCAAGGAAGCATTAACTTCAACGTGTCAAGAGGTTCTGTGTCTAAAGAAATACCATCATAAAGAATGGATCTCTACAGAAACACTGGACAAGATCAAAGAAAGGAAGAACAAGAAGGCAGCAGTTAACAACAGCCGAACACGAGCAGAGAAAGTCCAAGCACAAGCTGAATACATAGAAGCAAACAAAAAAGTGAAGAGGAGCATTAGAGCCGACAAGAAGAAATACGTGGAAGAACTAGCAACGACGGCAGAAAAAGCTGCTAGAGAAGGAAATATGAAACAACTTTACGATACAACGAAGAAACTAGCAGGGAAATACAGTAAACCAGAAAGACCGGTCAACAACAAGGAAGGCAAGCCAATCACCGAAATTCAACAACAGCGTAACAGATGAGTAGAATACTTCGAGGAACTCCTGAATGGGCCGGCTCCAATGAATCCACCGGACATCGAAGCAGCACACAGAGATCTTCGTATAGATGTCAATCCACCAACGACGGAAGAAATCAGAATGGCCATCAGACAAATCAAGAGCGGGAAAGCAGCAGGACCCGACAATATACCAGCTGAAGCACTGAAATCAGACATCGAAGCAACTATAAACATGCTTTACCTTCTATTCAAAAAGATTTGGGAGGAGAAACAAGTGCCGATGGACTGGAAAGAATGACACCTCATCAAGATTCCAAAGAAAGGAGACCTGAGCAAATGTGAAAACTACAGAGGCATCACACTACTGTCAATACCAGGGGAAGTCTTCAACAGAGTGTTGCTGAACCGGATGAAGGATGCAGTAGACGCTCAACTTCGAGATCAACAAGCTGGATTCCGTAAGGATCGGTCGTGCACAGACCAAATTGCAACACTACGGATCATCGTCGAACAATCAGTTGAGTGGAACTCATCATTATACATCAACTTCATTGATTATGAAAAGGCATTTGACAGTGTAGATAGGAGGACATTATGGAAACTTCTTCGACACTACGGAGTTCCTGAGAAGTTTGTCAATATTATCCGGAACTCATACGACGGACTACAGTGCAAAGTAGTGCATGGAGGACAGCTGACAGATGCATTCCAAGTAAGGACCGGAGTCAGACAAGGCTGTCTACTCTCTCCCTTCCTCTTTCTTCTGGTGGTCGACTGGATTATGAAGACCTCAACATCTGAAGGAAAACACGGAATACAATGGACAGCTCAGAATCAATTAGACGATTTGGACTTCGCAGATGACCTAGCCCTCCTATCACGTACACACGAACAGATGCAGATGAAGACAGCCAGTGTAGCAGCAGTCTCTGCATCAGTAGGCCTCAGCATACACAAAGGGAAAACCAAGGTCCTCAAATTCAAAGCGGAAAACAGCAATCCAATCACTCTTGATGGCGAAACTCTGGAAGATGTAGAGTCCTTCACATACCTGGGAAGCATCATCGATGAACAAGGAGGTTCAGATGCAGACGTAAAGGCGAGGATCGGCAAAGCAAGGGTCCCATTCCTACAATTGACGAACATATGGGACTCAAAACAACTTTCAACCAATATCAAAGTCAGAATCTTCAATACGAACGTCAAGGCAGTTCTACTGTACGGAGCTGAAAATTCGAGAACTACAACAACCACCATCGAAGAAGTACAAGTATTTATAAATAGCTGTCTACGCAAGATACTCAACATCCATTGACCGGATACCATCAGCAACAGCGTTTTGTGGGAGATAACAAATCAGCTTCCAGCTGAAGAAGAAATTAGGAAAAGACTATGGAAATGGATAGGACATACATTACGCAAATCGTCAAACTGCATCACGAGACAAGCCCTAACTTGGAATCCTGAAGGGAAGCGGAAAAGAGGAAGGCCAAAGAACACATTGCGTCGGATAATAGAAGCAGATATGAAAAGGATGAATAGGAACTGGACGGAGCTAGAAAGAATTGCCCAGGACAGGGTTGGATGGCGAATGCTGGTGAGCGGCCTATGCTCCTTCACGAGGAGTAACAGGCGTAAGTAAGTAAGTAAGTAAGTAAGTAAGTAAGTAAGTAAGTAAGTAAGTAAGTAAGTAAGTAAGTAAGTAAGTAAGTAAGTAAGTAAGTAAGTAAGTAAGTAAGTAAGTAAGTAAGTAAGTAAGTAAGTAAGTAAGTAAGTAAGTAAGTAAGTAAGTAAGTAAGTAAGTAAGTAAGTAAGTAAGTAAGTAAGTAAGTAAGTAAGTAAGTAAGTAAGTAAGTAAGTAAGTAAGTAAGTAAGTAAGTAAGTAAGTAAGTAAGTAAGTAAGTAAGTAAGTAAGTAAGTAAGTAAGTAAGTAAGTAAGTAAGTAAGTAAGTAAGTAAGTAAGTAAGTAAGTAAGTAAGTAAGTAAGTAAGTAAGTAAGTAAGTAAGTAAGTAAGTAAGTAAGTAAGTAAGTAAGTAAGTAAGTAAGTAAGTAAGTAAGTAAGTAAGTAAGTAAGTAAGTAAGTAAGTAAGTAAGTAAGTAAGTAAGTAAGTAAGTAAGTAAGTAAGTAAGTAAGTAAGTAAGTAAGTAAGTAAGTAAGTAAGTAAGTAAGTAAGTAAGTAAGTAAGTAAGTAAGTAAGTAAGTAAGTAAGTAAGTAAGTAAGTAAGTAAGTAAGTAAGTAAGTAAGTAAGTAAGTAAGTAAGTAAGTAAGTAAGTAAGTAAGTAAGTAAGTAAGTAAGTAAGTAAGTAAGTAAGTAAGTAAGTAAGTAAGTAAGTAAGTAAGTAAGTAAGTAAGTAAGTAAGTAAGTAAGTAAGTAAGTAAGTAAGTAAGTAAGTAAGTAAGTAAGTAAGTAAGTAAGTAAGTAAGTAAGTAAGTAAGTAAGTAAGTAAGTAAGTAAGTAAGTAAGTAAGTAAGTAAGTAAGTAAGTAAGTAAGTTATGAAGGTGAAATCAACACCATCAAATAAGCTATGGATATCATCTTCTGACTAAATAAAAAGATATGTTAGCCCACTGATTAATTGTCTCTTCAACCAACTAATAAATATCACAAAAACATAACACATAACCTTCAACGATATGAAATCTGAATAGCATGTTTCAATAAAGGGGAAGACAAAATAAACGTCTTTAAAGGTATAGTATGAATCATCTACTAAAATGAGGCTAATCAATTATATAACTCCGTAGCACTATTGATTTTCTATCAGGACTAAAACTTATCATGAATTAGAGATCAGAAATAAAACTAAAATACAGTGCAGGTTGAACTACTTCAAAATAAAACAAGTTAATGCAGACTGAATCATTGCATTTGATGTAGTTTAATGTGAGAGGGAACGTTGTGCACGAAATGTCTGGAATATTCAAAGTGGAAAGACATGAATCAAGAAGGAAAATTACATTAAAATCTGTCTTGAATCAGATAAACACCAAATTTGAGCAAACATGGACCTATAATTTTCATAATAAAAATTCTAAGAAAATTAACTATATAAAACCAATGTTTTTGAGAGCAAAGATAATCTGTTTTTAAAGGAGTTCATAAAACTAATAAGTGCATAATATTTGAAAAAGTCGACGACGAAAGAATATTATTTTCTATTAAAAAAGAGTATATTTTTAGACATTTCTGGCAAACCGACTTAGTTAATTAATGCGACAATAACAGAAAGGAATGATCACCTATAACTGTTCGAATGAGCTATTCCATTTCTTTAAACAAAAATGAAGCTGTTTTTTTTCTAATACGATTAGTAAAACCTTCAATACAAAAGTGGATTGTAGAGGAATAAATCCGAGAAGCCATAGCAAATTCCATTACTTCCTGTCCAAATTGTAATATGTATAGATTAGATTTAACGTAATATCCCACTCAGTTAATCAAATCCAACGTGAATAAATAAGAGAGGGTGTCCACTGAAATTTATTAATAAATACACACGTATTATTTAAACAGTAAAATACGTCTTCTCAAACTACATTTTTTCCCATAAATACTGTTTACACATAACCATTTACGGATAAATCACACAATATAGAGATTTAAACAAAAACTTAGTGATAACTGTTTGAGTACTGGTGACTAATTTCTATCAACAACTTTAATCGAATAACTGGAAATGTTTTGCGTATAAATCACACTAAGTAGATTGATTATGGCCATCAATGGATTGGTGATATGCCCTAGTCAAGTAAGTGTTAATTTTCTTCTGCAACTCTTCTAGTTAATGTAGCAATAACAACGTAATTTGTGATTCGAGATGAGTAATACATAGTCCAACTACCACAGTTTATGTAAGTTGATAAGTTTGATTCTACTCAAACCTATATTGTCCACTTGAAATAATTTCAAATTAATGTCATCAAAAAACAACGATGACTTGAAGGTTTCCATAATTTAACATCTGTACTTTCGATAATCATTCGAAAAGTAGCCAAAAAAGAACTCTCGATTTAAATAGCCAAATGAAGTTTGAATGAAATGTATGACCAATGAAGGTAAATTATTTCCTTCATTGTTAGCGATAGCCATAATTGTGAATGGACTGGGATTCTTATTATCCAAGAGCCCTAACAGACGAAGGTAGTTTCTTAGGGGGTCACTCTCCGAGCCTTTAGATAAAAAGTATAATCCGAAAGGCAGTGGAACAGAGTTAAGAGATGTAACTCTATGTTAGCCAATGACCAGAATAGGTCCACGCGTTATTCATCCTATTAGGATCCTGAATCTCATCTGCACCATTGGTTTAAAATCAGGGATTTCCAACTCCCCCAGGTCAATTCTCAGGATTCACTAGCACGGTTTAAGTGCGCAACATTCCCTTTTCAATATCTCACTTTCGCAAATAACAAGAGCACTGCGAAGACACAGAGGGTTGAACTTCCCTAACAGAGGTTAGAAATCCATAGCTATATGAGAGCATTTCGAGAGGGGAAATGGTCTCTCCTACCCTCAACTTTATCAGATAATCTGGGGATAAAGAGACAAAGAAAAGAAGTGCTATTAATAAAAACTTGTAGTTTTATAAATACCATACTATAGAAGTGACAGGAAATAAACCACTCTTATGAAATCCGATGGAATATAAAAGTATTGACAAACGCGATCAATTTTTGATAACTTATTTCACCGTAGAAAGTGGACATGGTATCGATAAAGTTTTTCTTAAACTTTGATGACAAAAAATATTAAAATGAACAAGACCGATGTAGAATATGACACCGAAATGTATCAAATCAATATCCCTATAATATCAGTTACATAAAATTAAACAGAATTATACAAATGTTTCGTATTTTATTGTAAAATCTAACAAAAAGGATATTATCGAACACCACTGGGACAGATTGCATCCCATGGGTCTTTATCTACCACATTTTACAAAACGTTAGAAATCCCAATCAGAAAATCTACGTGAAGTATGGTCACGCATAAGTACTTTTCACGCTAAGCCTACCGAAATTGACACTAGACACTGTTTGTAACCTCGTAGACTGATCTGTTTTAAATAGTTTTTAATATTGATCTCCTTCAGTGGTTTTACCACGTAGAAGTGGTACTAAGAAGAAACAACTATCAAATAAATGAATCTTTTTTTAAAGAATATTCAATCCCAAAATTCATACTTAAAAACTGTACAACAAAGTGCTTAGCTTTGTGTCGTTTATTCTACTCTTGATGGACGACGTAAAAGGACATAGTTTAAGTTACTTGTATTTCTCAAAAATTATAAGTATACACTTAGAAATTATCCCATTACAACAACAGGCAGGAAAGCTTTTATAACAATAATATACTATAATTGATCAATAATATTCTTACTTCACAATTCGGTGACCATAGTCTTACAACAGAGTCAATTCCGGAACTTGCCAACAAACAAATAGACGGATGAGGTTGAACACAGTTCACAGTAGAACTGTCAGCTTTCAATATACGCATTATATTAGTTGTATTACGATCCCATATAAAAAATGCACCACAATCAGACCCACCGACAATATATTGCCCATAGCTAAAATAACAAAGTAATTTAAGTTGGTGATCAATGCACTTTTAGAAACTAAATAACTGCTGTTACATATAACGACTAAATAACGAACATAACTAGAATAGTATAACGGTAACATTGTAGTGAAGTAGAACACAGGTGAGGACAACCGAATTATATTTAACACAACATTACAGAATTAATTGGTAAAATAGAAAAACCATACTATAATACTTAATTTGCAAAATGTTCAATAATTGTCTCGGACTTCATAGTTCTTACATTTCTATACTAATTGCTTTCTATTCCTATTCTTTCTTTCTTGATCTTCCCAATCTTCTGTTGCCAGACATTACATTCCTGACTAGCATTATATACTACTTTTGTTAATATAAGTAGCACGCACCAGAACATCTGCGACAGTGACACTGAGTAATGTACGGTAGAATACTTGATGGAGTATCAGGTTTCATGCTAGCGCACATATTCCTTGTTGGTGAATTAAAGTCTAGTCGAGGATTCCCATTGATTGTTCCTTGAATACTAAACACTAAACGTTGATATTATGTTTCATCTTTATAATTTTATATGTTTATTAATAGTTTCAGCAGCTTTCGATTTCCAAGTCAAGTTTCGAGGGAGTAAGTTTACCTGAATCTAACGAATTATTAAGACATTCAGAGTAGATGAAATTTTATCTACACAATTATTTTAGAGATTTAGCATCAGTCATTTAAACAACTACAACGTAGAACGAGGCACAAGCTGCCACACCCCATTAACACAACAAGATGAACAGCAATTCATAGAAGCAGTTAATTCAATGATAGTAATGCATTGAAACAAAGATTGCATATGAGGATATAATAAGGAGAAAAAATTAGTTCGTGGGAAAAAAGGTATTAAAAAATTTTAATCCCACAGTTTAAGGAAAGACAAAGAGTGTATATACCTACGTCATTGTGATCGATTCTGAGGCATGTTACCCAGAGTCTCCAACCACTGGTTACGATAGTCACGCAGACACTAACCAAGTAGTCTGTATCTACCAACATGACTCAACCTAGAAGTTAGTGACTCTATGGACTGATACCATGTTTTGGTTTGGCCGCTCCTAACCTTCCATCTGTCTCCAACCCTAGTCAGCATTTCGCGTCGTGGCAGTCGGTGGTTGGGCATGTGTACTACGTGGCCCAACCATCCCAGTCAATGAAGACTCACAACCTCATTAACTGATTTACAATCATTCACTAATATCCTGCATATAACCTCACTATTACTTAACCGGTGATCCCAACAGATGCTGGCAATATTTCTAAGGCATCTGTGGTCAAATACTAGTAACTTACGAGTATCTTCTACTCTTACGCAGGTCAGTCCTGAGGCAACAACTCGCATTTAAAGAGAGAGAAACGCATCCCAAACATCCTGGCATTGCTGTTTAGTGCTGCCAAAAGACTACATTTTATCAACGTCTTCATTTGTTATATTTCTCTCTAACGGTTATCACCCAGCTATTCCAATTGCTTAAAAGGCTTGGACATCAAATCACTCGACGAGTCCCCAAATCAGAACACGGTTGAACAGGAAAGAGATTATATTCTAAATAACAAGGTTAGATGGAAGTAAGAAGCACAGTAGGAAAAACGTTAGTATATTTACAGTTTTTACATGAGAAGATTTCTAGAGTATTCTCCAAGTATCGACTAGCGCTGATTGGATAAGAATTAGCCAATCAGCGTGCACCAAAGCAATCGTGCATTGAGCATGCTTTAATCCAGTCTATGTCCCGCTAACATCACCAAACAGAACTATGTCATCTGCGTATTCTAAGTCGATAAGTGGACCTCTTAGAAGGAGATCAATGCCCGAGAATTCAGTCGACGAGAACATTATTTCCATCAGTAGGTCTATGATGAAGTTGGACAAAAATGGAGATAGTGGACAGTCTTGATGGATACCACTTGAGATTGCAAAATCAGATGACAGTTCGCCATAAGCTCTCACTCGATTAGTAGTGTTCGGGTAAAGAGTCTTCACAAGGTTTATGCACTTATGAGGTGTGCCTTTCAATGACAGACATTGCCACAGAACCTCTCGATCAACAGAGTCAAATACTGCTTTTAAGTCAAGGAAGACCATCATTTTCGGATGCCGATAAGCATGCCTGTGTTCTAAAACCTAACGAATAGTGAATATGTGGTCGATGCAGCCACGACCAGGTCTGAAGCCAGCCTGATTTTCTTGTGTTTGCAGTTCACGTGTCTTAGGCGCACGATAGTTATTGAGGCTAGTATTTTAGGTGTTAATGATTTAGTTTGAACGTTAACGAAGAACCAATGAAAAGTAGGTAAAATTAGAAAAGCTGAATCCGACCTGAGCTAAGTACCAACACATTCGTTGTCGAGTTTCTGGGTTACGTTTGTGGATATCGAGAATTCTATAAGCACAACAGTCAGTTTATGATAAAAATGTTGATGTGAAAAATAACATAACTATAACGTCCCCTTTATCCATACATTCAGGGTTCCACAAAGTGATCTATGATGATTACTGACGGACACATTGTTATCCCAACACACATCAAATTCATTTAAAAAGAAAAAATACCCAACAGTAAACAAATATTTCAAAAACATGCTAATGCCTTTAAAATTATCCACCGTCAGGTAACTGTTTTTCAAGACAAATCATGAAGATTGTCAAGTCAACTTGTTCATAAAATAAAACCATTGATACATCATTACTATGCACCAGTGAATTACCTCCCAAAGAAATTTGCTTCTTTAATATCTGTTATTGAATTGCAATGACCAATATAAGATGCTGAAAAGTCGATGGCATTTTTTCGCCTTTCTCTTTCATCCTCTTCTATCCACATTCGATTACATGAGCAGTTTAAACAAGCACATAGTCTTGGATTTATTTGATTGTCAAGACTGGGACGATGCCAAGATTCTGAAGATATTTGTTCACATACTAGAAAGAAGAAAATTAGACAAAGTTAACTCTCATTTTAAAGAAAATTCTTATCCTGTTAGATGTAAAGGATGTTATTAGATATGTAAAATAAAAATCACTAGGTTCTGTAGTTGACGATAGTTAATGGCTGAATTTTAACCTGAGTCACGGGTTTAATGAGATTTACAGAGATAATTATTACATTTAACACACACGCACAGTAAACACGGTCAGTGGAGTAATATATGGACGCCAACATAATCATTGGGCAATAACCCAGTTTGATTTTCACTATTTATTCGAAGCATACAAATTTTGGTGCAAAATTGCACGAAAAAATGGGCCACACGAATGAAGTGTTAGTATTGTAAAGAACTAGAAGAGAGAAGGGTAGTAAAGTCAATTAATAAATCAACTAGAATAGCATTTATTGATAAAGTTCAGTTAAAAAACGTTCAAAAAGTTTCCTTAATTAACTCGTTCTTATGAAGAGTATAACTGAAAATTACAGCTTAATTGGTACTGGCTTATTTTCTGAGCCGAACCGAATGACGTCATAAACCACTGAATTGTAAAATCTCTAGGACCACAGCAAAAGTAACGGATTGACAGATACAAAACATACACCGCTTTCTTTCAGACTATATTACCATGTTATAAAATGTTGATGTAAAAATGAGATAGATCCTTCATTTTATTGTTTTTTATGAATGATGAATTGTATTACAATATCTACTACTCCTACATTTACGTGTAATAAATATTATTCATATTCTATTCCGAAATATATTCTGATGAACTCTAAGACCGCTTAGTCAGCATTTACCAACTAAATATTTTGGGAAGATATTTCAATTAATCAACGAGTGTAAGCAAGACAAAGTAATAATGAGTTTGTGGGTTTCACTACCAAGGTTTGACTTCACAATTTCACATAAATTGAGCGTTGGGTAGATTGTTATTAATAAAAATAATATATTTGTAATATCCAGATGAGTAGAAAATTACTCATTGGGGTATTAAAAAATTATTTTTATTAAAAGCAATAATGAATTTTAATTTGGTGGAACATAAATGGAATATAATAAAAATGGGTCTCTCTAATCAATTGATGTTATAGAATAGATATGTAGCTTATATAATGTTGATATAGTTAGGAAGAATTGAATTAAATGAACTTAATTTGTTCTTACAGAACCTATTGAAAGTTTTAATGCACCCAAACATACTTCCGATTAAATAAAACGATTAATTGATGACCGTGCTTAATACACGCATAAAAAAACAACTAAAATAAGCCCCGTTTAGCAGCCGTGAAGTAAACCAGAATAAACTGCTGCGCAGTATACTTGTCCCTTAATCGATAGACGGATATTTTCCTTCCCCATAGGTGACGTAAACTGACAAAGGCTAAACGACCTTTCTGAATCCGTATAGAAATTTCGTCAGACACCAATTCACTAGGGCTGATCAGACTTCCAAGATAAGTGAAGTTGTCGACGCGTTCGACTACTTCATTCCTTATTCTTAGTTCAGGTGTTGATACAGTCCAGTTTTGAAGCAATAATTAGCATTTAGAGGAATAAAAACGTATCACAAACATCCTGGCATTGTTGTTTAGTGCTACCAACCAACGAATCGTTGAGCAGTAAACTCGCCCTTCGGTTAAAAGATGGATATCTCGCTTACGCCACAGGTGACGCAAGTTAGCGAAAGTCGATAAAGCTTTTCGAATCAGTGCAGAGATTTCGTCAGACCTCAGGACAAACGAAACACCCAAGATAAGTTAAGTAGTCGATGCGTTCAACTACTACACTCACCATCATTAGTTCAGCCCATGACGCAAGCCAATCCTGAAGTGACATTCTACATTTGCAGGGAGAGAACCGCATCCCAAACATGTTTAGATTGTTACTTCAGGTGGTTGGAGGATTTTATTTTGTCTGTGTCTTCACCAAGCAAAACAATATCAGCTGGGTATTGTAAGTCAACAAGTGAATCTCCTCGCGATTAACGGAGTCGAGTGCTGTCTTACAGTCAAGGGATACACCTACAGTTGGACGTCGAAAAGTATGTCTATGTTTCAGAATCTGCCGGGTGGTGAATACTTGGTGTATACATTAAAGTCCAGATCTGAAACCAGACCAGTTTACGCGGGTTCGCTCCTCACGAGCTCTAGCTAGACGTCGAGATATCATTTTAGACACTATAAGCTAAACTGATTCCTCTGCGATTGTCACATGAGGATTCTTGACGATCAACGATCGAGGTAGTAAGGTAAACCATAAAGTTAGGGAAAAATACTGCATCTGAGCAGCATCTACCGCACTGTCAGATGTTCGAAAACCCGTCCCATCAGGCTCTGAACATGATGAAGGGCGAAGTTTTCTGAAGCACAGGCTGATAAGAAGCCTACGCAATGATCACGAACAGTGGTGGGCTGCGAAAACAAGAGGGATGGAGAGTCCTGTATCAACAACTTGCATTTAGAAGGGGAGAAATGCATCCCAAACATTCTGGCATTGTTGTTTATTGCTGCCAAAAGACTCTGCATTTAAACACCGTCTTCACCAAACAGAACTATGTCATCTGCGTATTCTAAGTCGATAAGTGGACCTCTTAGAAGGAGATCAATGCCCGAGAATTCAGTCGACGAGAACATTATTTCCATCAGTAGGTCTATGATGAAGTTGGACAAAAATGGAGATAGTGGACAGTCTTGATGGATACCACTTGAGATTGCAAAATCAGATGACAGTTCGCCATAAGCTCTCACTCGATTAGTAGTGTTCGGGTAAAGAGTCTTCACAAGGTTTATGCACTTATGAGGTGTGCCTTTCAATGACAGACATTGCCACAGAACCTCTCGATCAACAGAGTCAAATACTGCTTTTAAGTCAAGGAAGACCATCATTTTCGGATGCCGATAAGCATGCCTGTGTTCTAAAACCTAACGAATAGTGAATATGTGGTCGATGCAGCCACGACCAGGTCTAAAGCCAGCCTGATTTTCTCGTGTTTGTAGTTCATCAGTCTTTGTTAAGCATCCGATAATTATTGAGACTAGTACTTTAGATGATATATTAGTCAAACTAATCGCTCTATGATTATCACAGAATGATTTTGATCCTTTCTTATATATTCGGACAATCAGTGACTGCGACCAGACTTTAGTCAAACTAATCTCTAGGACTGGACCACAATAATTAAAGACCTCTGGAGCCAATTCAATGAGGAGCAAGCAAATGCCTGCCCGTATTAGAGCATGATCGGAGTCCAAGCAGGTATTCCAGAACGAGCGAAAATCTTTTATCGACACAGCATACACCAATGGTACAAGATTCTAGGGTTTTAGCCAAGGAGGCCTGTGGCCGACTTGATACACAGTGCATACGTTGAAGGCTCCAATGTGTAGTTTGGAGCGAGGTTTTAGTAGACCTGGGACAGGGTTTTACGCACTAGAATCGTTGGCCGTGGTGACACTTGAGGAGGAAGTAAGAGAGGAAGATTAGAGTTGAAAGTCGAGGTAGGAGTAATAATAGGAATTGAAGAGAGTGATTGATCATGAATACAGTGATCTTGAGTACTGTTAGAGGTATGAGGATAGTTATCACTTCCCGGTTTCCCACACCGTGGAAGGGTTCTTCTGGAGGTACCTGAAAAGGAAATTGGGTTAGAGGTGGTCTTAGTGAACTAAGAGTGTGACCACAGTGCCCAAGGGACAACTGCTTGAGGTCGGTCACACACGACCTTTTTGTGTGCAATTTTCGTGTTAGCTCCGTACTTATTGAGACCTTACCGCCGGAGAAGGAAATCCGTGGGATAAGGCGAGATGTGCATTTTTAGGGTCGACCTTTTCTAACCTCACCCCGTCTTTGTTTTTTTATTTCAACACAAATCTCATTTGATATGTGTGAGGGCTGTGGTACTGCCCGGGTGCCCAAACCGAAGCAGGTGGTTTTTTAGGGGGCCACATACCGAGCCTTCGACCTAAAAATCTGATCCACAAGGCAGTGGAGCAACGTAAGGAGATGCAGTCTTATGGTAGCCGGTGACCAACGATTGGTTCATACGCCATTTGTTCCCTCAGGATACTGGAGCCCATGTGCACAATTGGTTTGGAATCAGGGTTTTCCAGCTTCTCTACGTGGACTCTCCATGTCCACCAATCCGGTTAAAGCGCCGGACATTCGCTTTTCGTCCTCTCAATTTCGTAAACAACACCTCCACGAGAAGGCGGTGGGTAGGACTTCTCTGGCAGAGGCTATGTACGCGTGGCCATGTGAGAGCGGACCCTCCCCACTCTCGGCCATACCAGGGCATTTGGGGGCAGCATCACTGTTATGCGGGTTGTCTAAGGGGAACGCATTACTACCGTCACACCTCTGTACAGTCAACAGTACGACTTCGCCCTCAGACCTTGGATTTGTTGCTTTTAGTCTTACCGCTCCCTAACCGACCTGTTTGGCATGGTAGGACTTTGAGAAACGATTGTTCCAGCCAGTATGGCTCGACTGGTTTATTACGATGAGCAAGCCTGATCACCACCTCGGGTTAACAACAACGGTCGGAGTCTATATAAATGATAATTATGGTAGAATATTTTGTGACAGATCAAATTCTGTGGATTTCGTAGCATTCTTAACTAGTTCACGGAATATTATTGCTTATATTTTTATTGTATAATTATTAGATAGTTGAATAATTATATTGCTGTATGTCTTGCATCGCAAGCTACCGTTGAACCTATTGACTAGTGCTAAATGCTTTATTATTCATTAATTATTAATTAATTATGTACCGTTCATTCTGTTATTTGCCGCTTACAGAAGGATTGTATGTAAAGCATGGTTTCTCATCGAGGTTGTGTTGCGGTCCGATAATTTGTACATGTAAACTAAATAGTGCTGGAAATGGCTTTACTGGGTGCCTGAAATGTAATGGTAGGTGCTTGTCTGCTGCTTTTTTATTACCAGATCCGAAATTGGGGATGAAAAAGTCATACACATCGGGAGCCCGACATGAGTCAAGCTTATCTCGTCAATGCTCCAAGTTACTCGAGCCAGCCTAAGCGTCGTACTGGTCAAGTTAAGTGGTCAGTCAATAGATGGACTAGAATATCCGAACTCGAGAAGAATATGTTAGGATTTTGATTGGTGTGTTTTTATCCGATCTAACGACTAAGGAATTCCAGACCAGAAAGCGTCATAGCACTACGTTTTTCAGATTATCCAAAAATCTCTACCGACACTTTGTCCCTCTACTCAATAACCCAGTGATAGTTTGAAGGAGTTTTACGAAAAGGTCCAAGGGTTCTTACATGGGTTTAAAAAAAACACTTATAATACCAACTAATTCCAGTGAGCAAGATTGAGGTCAATGACGAGAATACATGTTTATTCTCGCTGAAGAAAGTTCTATTTTTGAAATGTCTTTTAAAATAGTTGATTATAAGAAAAGACAGGAAGATAAGTGTGCAAATTCACCAAGTAGATGCCTCATATACTTCTTTGAATTCATAATTATTTTGTTCGAGTCAGTGTTTTTTTTTAAATATAAACGAGTAAACTCGAATTTCCACTGGGTGAATTAACATACAGATACATTTAATAATCCTACTTATTTTTTCATTTGTTATACATACTTCTGAAAAAAAGGAAAATCGACTTCAGTGAGTCAGTTTACTAAAACAAGAAAAGGAACATACTGTTATCGCATTTCAAGAAAGATAAAGTTTCTGGTCTTGGTATTGTAGATCCTTTGGCATCATTGTCGTCATCATCATTATCATCATTGGTATCGTTGTTATCATAATTATCATGTAATGATGTTTTTTTTCCACTAACTTGCTTTCCTTTTCTTTTCGACTTGTTAGATTGTGATTCTAATTGTTTTTCTCTCGCCAACAATGTAGACTTTAAATGTTCGAACACTTTAACCAGGTTATCTGATTTGCAAATATACTTGGACGGATTTGTATCAGTGGTATTGATTGTTGGTGTGCTAGCAGATGACGAGGAAGAAGAAGAAGAAGAAGCGATGACAGTAGGTGTAATAAGCGCTTTATCCGAAATCTTTTGATGCGTAATAGTTTTGAAGAGATTGGGAAAGCTGTCCAGTGCTTGTTTGAGCTGAATACGAGCAGCATTTAACCAATCCAAACATAATAAACATCGGACTGAAAGTAATAGAGCTGTAAGGTAAACGGAACTGCTTAACAATTGATGTTTATTAATGGTATCGTTATTTTGGATGCTGACAGAATCATTGTTGCTTTGAGTAGTCAGTTGGATAGCATTTCGGCAATCCAATAGCGCATTATAAATATCGCCATTCCTTTAATTAAAATAAAAGAATACATTCAAAGCTTACTCAAGAATGTTCTTAAAATCTAACAGTTTGATCTTTTCCACGTATGAAAAATAAAGCTTTAGGCTAATCATCAATAAATTCAGTTTTGGGTTTTAACTGCAAAAGTGCACTTTGATATACTAACAAGTATTATTCCATGTTTCTTTTAGCTAATCTAGGCAGCAGAAAACGACCGTGTATCCGGGAAATTTCAGGGTTTTTCACACAGATTCTTTGCAAAACCTGAGTTGAATGGATGAGAATAAGCTAAACTGATTAACTGAGAAATTAACCTAATATCAAGTCAACAGAAGCCAACAGCCAATATAAGATGTGATCGTCCCATGCTACTAGTGATTCTTATACCAAAAATGAGACGGTTATCTACGTATTCAGACCTATTGCCGATTAAACTATAGTGTTATTAAAACTAACCACGTACAGCAAAACATGTTCATATATGGCGCTTGTTTCGTGTCAAAATTTTCAATACTACTTGTCTATAAACTATTCATCTATGGAAACATTCACAACAAAATCAAAGTCGAATGAAGCCCACTATAATTTATACAAATCAAAAGGACGTGAAAAAGACAGTAGATAGAAAAATCTAATTACCATGATGACTAAAAAAGTATCACATATGATTACACTAGAATGAGACCGACAAAGAATGCTTAATCAACCGTATATTTTCAAAATGTATACAACATATAACTTCATATCCCGTGATGGCAAATAGAGCTATTAAGATATGCTCAGTTGACACAATTGATAAGGAATTACAGCACATTCATAATATGTTGATTGAATTGGGATATCTACAGGGCTTCCTGAAGAAACACTTGCGTGTAGCAAGCAAGAAAATAGTGACACTAACGGCTAATAAAAAACCTCTTTTCTTGAAGCTGCAATTCAATGGTGATGTAGCTAGTGATGTATTAGGTGATAGACTGACTAGAGCAGTAAAGAGAACGTTTAATGCTGCCAACCTCTGTCTATCGTATTCGACCCGATCTATGGTGATTCTCCAACCGAAGGATAAGTTACCTGGTTATGCCACTTCTATGTGTATCTACGAATTCAGCTGCTCCTGTGAAGAAAGCTATATTGGGCGCACTACCAGGCAACTGAACCAACGAGTTAGTGAACACCTTCCTTCGTGGTTAGGAAAAGGTTACGTCAAAACAATACGCAGCTCGGTTCTATCACACTTGATCGATAGCGGTCATATAGTGGACAGAAACAAGTTATTAAAAATTATTTATCCTATTCCCACTAGTTTTCCTTATGGTGTTCGATCTCGTCTCTTACACATAGCAGAAGCTATAAGAATCCGAGCCAACAAGCCAAGTCTTTGCGTTCAGAAGAAATTTGTAACACCCTCCCTTGGCCTTAATAAATGAATTTATTTATTATTTTTTCAAACTTTCTCTTCGTTTATTATTTTTCTTCACCCCCCCTACCACTTTATTTTCTCTCAACTATACGTCTCACGGTCCAATTATCTGAACACCCATTATTACGTCATCTTGTAATTTTATAAATTTTATCTCACTGTCTATATTTTTCTAATCATTGACCTATTTCCGATTATGTAGCATTGATTTGAACCTTTATTATTCTTGTCAAAACTAATACACCTGTTATCACACTACCAATTTGTACTTTTCACTTATTATGTAATCGTTCTCATTGTTACCATTGTCTCATAAACTACCTTGATTGGTTTAATAATTTCATATATGGATATAAATATTACTGTATATTAGAGATAAGCCTGATGAGGATCTAATCGAAAACAATATTGTTCGCTTATATATGTTGATATAAATTCCTGTATTATTACCATATATTATATTAGTCATAATTCTTGATGGAAATCTTGTTACTTACATAATATTAAGCTTACTGAATGATATTAGACTAGAATATAATGAAGAGCTTGGATAAAATACAAGCTATTAAATAAACAACATAGACCCAACACAGTAGTAGGAAAACAAAAATGTCACAAAATGACTGACCAATTTCTTTTAATTAAAGCAGTAGCGCGACCTGTATACAGTTGAGGACAGAAAGGATACTGTTGAATAAGTTTATTATACTTATGAACTGCAACAGCATATGCCTTGGCTTCAATTAATCGTGAAGCCAGTACGACTGAGTAATCAGAAGCCATAGAAGGATTACAACGGTAATCATAAGTTGAACCTATAAAAAGATGGTAGTAAAGTTTATTTAATTATTATCCACTTGCCATTTGGCGTTAAATAGATAAAATTAGTTTTTAAACAATATATGACGGATTACATCCAATTGGTTAGCCCTAAATAGAAAAAATTTGCATCCTGTAATTTTAGCTTCTATTCAAAACATAAATGATTAAAGAGTACATTGCCAAAATGAAACTGATCAATATTGAATATCGACAACAGAGAACGAACAAAACCCATCACAGATAACGACGTATGAATTTAGAACAAGTGTAAATAGTAATATTTATATTACCCGAATAAGAATCATAATATCCCATATTTGAAGGACGAAACCAGGTAGGAATACGAAAAGAACGAAACCTATCCCTTGGTTGCGTTGCAGATAAACTATACAATAATTTAGTTGATTTAAACGATGATTGACATTGAAATGGTTCATTTTGTGAAGCTAAATGAAATAGATAAATATTATCACGTCCAACATTAGCTAATAGTTCTTCACCATCTGAACTAAAACTGACTGATGTTACACTGAAAGTTTGATTGTCTAAACCATCAGTTAATATTTTACCAGGTAGATGAGCTGAAATGACAGAAAATGATGCAAAAAGAGATTGAGAGAATTGGTGAGCAGTAGTTGATTATTCGTTTTAAATAAAAACTGAAATATTAATTTATTGACAAAATTCAAAGATAAACTTTACATCAAAATCAACAACGCAAGTGGTAATAGTCAAAAACATCTACTAAATTTATGCTAACTCTATAAGCGCTCCATATGAGAACATGTAACATTCATTGTGTCGAAAAATATTTGAAATCACAATTTATATTAATGTAAATCCACGTAACTCATTTACCAAATACCAATTTTGTATGCACACGACTTTGAGCTACATATTTTATGTAGAATGTATAGGTAAGACAAAGCTGCCTAAACCGGAGGTGAAGTGAGATTTGAAGCCACAAACAGTGACTGAAAGTCAGATGATTTAATTACTTGAATAGCTTATACAGGGGTTTCATCACAAAGAAGCAGATCAAAAATGTTAATCTAAGATATTAAAATACGATGATATTCTACTATTAGCTCACCGTATTCAATGAAAACGGACTGGCTATTGTACAGCTGTTTCTTATTTGTTTGACACTATTCTGTACTGTAATGCTACGGAACCGCTAGGGATAGCCTTCAGGACCTTTTTAACTCCCCGCGAGAATACTATAGAGCTGCCGAGTCAGGAGCCAATAGTCCACATTTTAATCTTCAGCCAATGAACAATGGTTGAGAAACACGAATTACAGCTTAGCTCTAATACACTGGGAATTCTTTTTGGAGTTAATCCTTAGTGATCCCGTGATGATCATTCAGTAACGGGGTTGGCCGAGATTCTTCAGTATAAAGTTTTTATTCAAGACTCATATCAGTTGAAAAAACCATTTTAAACCACGAAGCAACGGACAGTTACTTCGTCCTGGCATAATGCTATTTTTTCATGAGGTGAAGAAATTGAGGTAAAATCCTAGTTCTTTATCTACAAGAAATATTTACATAAATGAGGAAGAATTTTTAGTTTCAATACTTACATGGAACAAAATATTTAGCTGCACCATAGGGAAATGAAGGCAGCGAGCTTGATGGAATGTTTATAGGGGTTCTCCTTGATGCAGCTTGTCTAGAGAATATATGGAAATAGTTTTCAGATGCAAGAATTTACAGAGAAGACTGTAAGTTAACTTGACAATGATCAAAGGAATCTAAATAGGGTGGAATGTGATAATAACTACAATGATGTTCATTTTATAGGTGGCTTTAGATGGAATTTTAACGCTTAAATTAAATCTCACCATCAAGCATGTCACAAGGTGTGGTAACTCCATCATGGGTGATGGATTAAGATATTTACTTTTACAAAATGGGCAAACATTCCAATAAAACTTGGTGCTTAACTGAACTGATAGTTCTTTTTATCAACAAGTTATTGAATTACGTTAACATTAGATCTGAATGACCACGAAAGTCATCTAGAATGTATAAGATTCACTGAACTGTAATTAAAGTTATAAATTTCAACCAGAGATTTTATTAATGATGTAAACTAGTTGTAAACATAAAAAATTACCACAACAAATAACTTATACTACTGTATTATCTAAGACATTTAACTAAGATCAGTTCGTTATTTAAAACTACGAAAATCCAGCGATCCCCACAAATCCTACTATACTAACAATGATCCTGTACTGACCAGGACAGGGTTGGATGGAGAGTGCTGCTGGGCGGCCTATGCCCCTTCACGATGAGTAACAGGCGTAAGTAAGTAAGCAACTCACTGGTGACTAGCTACAGGATACAACTCCTCAAGTTCTAATAAAAACTCATGACCAGTGGAATTCAATTATGTCGCGTATGAAACAACCATCTACCAGAGGATAAAGGTTGGGGAATATCGTAAACTGATCGAAGTTAGATATTAACACCGTTGGGTGTCGGCTCAGTGGTTAATCGTTCGCATGCAAGATCGAAAGTCCTTGTTTCTACTCCTGAACGCCCGCTTGTGGATGTGAGCTGCTGAAGCGGCTGTTCAGGGCTTCCACGTTTACAATGGTGGTCTAACTAAGACCAAATCATGATTTCAAACTGTGAAGATTGCATATACATTCGGTTAAGAAAATAACCGTATACAACTCGTTGAAATACCCTGTGCTGAGAATTCTATATTGTACCAAAAAATAATATTGAATAAAGCCATCATTAATAATAATAATAATAATAATAATAATAATAATAATAATAATAATAATAATAATAATAATAATAATGATAATAGTAATAATAATAATAATAATAATAATAATAGTAATAGTAATAATAATAATAATAATAACAGTAATAGTAATAGTAGTAGTAGTAGTAGTAGTAATAATAATAATAATAATAATAAGGCTCCTACAAACGCTATCTAACATTAGTTTTCTTAGAGTCACATGATAATAAATTACTAGCTATTTTGTTTAAGCACAAGTTAGGTAGAATATAAAGACTATGTGACGGACCATTGTAAAAACAAACAACACGTTTCTGCTATAATGTCAAAAGACAAGTAGTTCTGAAGGACCACGTTCATGATTCCTAATGTTAGAACTGATGAATAATCAGTACAGTGATAGTTGATAATAGTAGATATCATCTAGTAATCAAACGGAAATAGGTAAGCCCCATGGTATAAAAAATCAATGAACCAGAATCTGATAACTGGCGACTATTAACCTCTGTCGATTCGTTTCTGAACGTTAATCATTGCTATTTTCCCAGCTTTTAAACACGTTGATACTATAGATTATGACTTGTCCGATAACGAAAAAGTCTGTTAGGCGATCACAACTACTTTATCACTAATTAATTGGTCGAACAGTTTCAATAGTTCATCTAAATAGACACAAAGAGTTAGTATTTTGACGGGCTACATTACTAAGATTTCACAGTCGAGATTTGAAGTGACTTGTGGAGGATGAACGGAACCATGAAACTTAAAAAAAAAACCACACATAAACTGTTTAAGAATCCATAAAAACAGAATAATGCAATCTTTTTCTAGGGTAAAATTTCTACTATTCAGAACAAATAGGCAAAGCAGACAGCAGAACTTAACAAATGGGAACGATACCGTTTTACTCTAAAGAAGCAGCTCAAATAAAGCTACGAAACGCCAGAAATACAATTTTTCTATTCATTGGGATATAAAAAATATATATTTATTATTCGTTTTTCAATACGTTTAAACTGAGTGAACCAATGAATGCTGAGATGTTTACAATGGCTTACATCTTTTAACACCAGTTGCAAGGTTGCAGATTTATTTATCTATTATATTTCTCCAGACACTGGTCTGTTTATCTATACTTTCCATTTTTTGATTCAACTTGATTGTTTCCAACTATATTACCAATCTAATTTCCATGACCAACTTTATTATTTCAACTCCTTTGTTTTTAAATTCGAACTCATTGTATTGATGTGTTATCAAACAACTTGAGTCAAAGGGAATTTTTTGCCGGACTGTACGTTGCATATGACTGACCAATTATTTACTTACTTACTTACGCCTGTTACTCCCAAGAGAGTATAGGCCGCCAACCAGCATTCTCCATCCCACTCTGTCCTCGGACTTCTTTTCTAGTTCCATCCAATTCTTGTCCATTTTACTCATGTCTATCTCCATTCCCCGGCGTAAAATGTCCTTTTGTCTTCCTCTTCTCCTTTGGCCTTGAGGATTCCATGTGGGGGCTTGTCTTGTGACGTGGTTGGGTGCTTTCCTCAATATGTGTCCTATCCACTTCCAGCGCTTCTTCCTGATTTCTTCCTCCATTGGGATCTGGTTTGTTCTCTCCCATAGTAGGTCGTTGCTAATAGTGTTCGGCCAACGGATCCGAAGTATTTTGCGTAGACAACTGTTAATAAACACCTGTGTCTTCTGGATGATGGCTTTCGTAGTTCTCCAGGTTTCCGTCCCATACAGTAGAACTGTCTTGACATTTGTATTGAAAGTCCTGACCTTGGTGTTGGTTGGCAGTTGTTTTGAGTTCCAGATGTTCTTCAGTTGTAAATATGCTGTTCTTGCTTTTCCGATCCGTGCCTTCACATCTGCATCAGATCCACCCTGTTCATCAATGATGTTGCTCAGATATGCAAAGCTTTTTACACCTCCCAAAGCTTCTCCGTCAACTGTGGTCGATTGGTGTATACTGTGTTGTATGGGGGAATCTTGCTTTTCCCTTTGTATATATTGAGACCTACTGCTGCTGAGGCTGCTGCTACACTGGTCGTCTTCTCCTGCATTTGTTGTTGCGTTTGCGATAAAAGAGCCAGATAATCTGCGAAGTCTAGATTGTCCAACTGCATCCTAGATGTCCACTGTATCCCGTGCTTCCCTTCAGATGTTGACTTCTTCATGATCCAGTCGACCACCAGGAGAAAGAGAAATGGTGAGAGTAAGCAACCTTTCTTGACACCGGTTTTTACTTCGATCGAGTTTGTCAACTTTCCTCCATGTACGATTTTGCAGTTTAACCCATCATAGGAATTACATTCAAAAGATTGTGTAGTTATTGGATTGTGGAGGGACCTCAAAGCTGAACTGGTGGGGATGAGAATTTAATGATGGTAAATTTAAAGCTCCGCACATGGTTCGAGATCTTATAAAATAACTCGTCAAAAGATATGCTAACAGCAACAAATTATGGTTGAGAGAAAATTTAAACTCAATCACGGAAAGGCACAGTAGGTACCTTATTAATTAATATGCTAATAATATATTTTTTAATTTAAATTAAAAGCTTACATTCTCTCCTGTGGTGTAACACTATCATACGTAGAAAGTGTTAATTTACGCCGATCAAACATTCGTACAAATGGTTCATTCCCACCGATAGCAACCAATTCAGACTTTAATGGATTTACTGCAATACACTTAGCTTCGGCAAAAACGTTATCTTGAAATCGTAAATTGACTAATACATTACATGGTTTATTTACAGAAGTCTTGTAAAAGATAAAAACATGAAAGATTATTTTAAATATGATATTTCACAGATAGGTTATACTTTTAGATAAATCAACTTCTTTCTTATTTAAATTAGTAATAGCACGAGTACCAGATGGACGATTTAAAAACGAATTTCAACCATTTAGTTAAGTTAGAACACTAATTTACTTTAGTCCTTATGAACATCTAAGCAGTATCACCTGTCTTTTACACAGCAGGTGTAGTTTCATTTCCTTTCTATAAAACTGTACTTCATTAAATACCAAAACAAATACAGGTACAAGTACAGTTTTATATGCTAGGCTCAGGGCTACACTGATGCTTCATCGAAAGTAACTGATAAAAGGAACGATATTTCATATACCTATGAGATTGTACGCAAATGTTTTATGAAACAGTGCTATAATGTAGGTATCATTACCAAGTTTTGACTTGATGCACCGTTGTACTATTTAAACTTGGATTAATTTTGATTTGGTTATTTACTCTCTGAAGAAGTGGCTTACACTAAGTCATGAAACGTCAGAAAACCTAATTTTTCTACTCATCGGGATATTACAAATATATTATTTATTTAGTGCTATAATGTGTTCTCATCAATGTTACTTCATTAAAAATTAGGTGTGATATTTCAAGTAACCAAATGTTCATAACTTGTTTAGATTGGACAATAAATGGTAGATAATTGATATTCAGTTGGTTACTTGTATACACGATTTCCACACCAATACAAAATCAGAGGAGCAAAACTGAATTATTAAACTTGATGGTATCAAAAAACCCAGAACAGAACCGAAGAAAGTTAAAATAATGGACAAGACAATTTAGAATCAATAAAAACATGATTCTATGTGACGTATGTCAGCGATCAGTTGCTTAAAATACTCGCATTCTCTACCTAGCTCCTATATCATTTGTAAATGCATCTTGCATTTTGTGGTAAAATACAGTTTACTCACTTTTATGTGCAGATATATAGGGTGATTAACTAATTTGCTTTTCTAATCTAAAATCATGCACTTACGCTCAATATTATCAACTTGACATTCATAACATAAGTTAAAGAATTTTTATATCAGCGGTATATCGAAACATACAGATCTTTGCACAAAATCCTCGACCGTTGATAAAAACTGGGATATCTCTGTTTGATAAGTAAACCTATTTACTTATCCATGTATCTCTTAAGTGTAAAGGAAAATTTTTATTGAAAATATGGTTATTTTTCATTCTTACTGTGACGTTTGAATATATAAATTGCATCAATTAAGCATAGGCTAATTGAATCTGTATTCAAAATTTTTTAATTGTATATCTTTTTAGAAACAATTTTAAGAAACAAAAAACATACCTGATCAGGATCTCGTAGGTCAAACTGTCTACAGGTCCCATCTTCTGAGGCTGACCAAAATAAGAATGGTTCAGATGGAGTATTCGCCAATCGTTTAACGCGACCTGAATGACAAGAAAATACATGCCGAGTTTCTAGTGCTTTAATGTCATGTACACGAATTTTGTTATCAGCTGCACCCGTTACAATCAGATTCTCCTAGAAAAACAAGATGATTATGAGTTTCCAATAACAACAAAAACGATAGTACTTACATTTAGACTAGATAAGAACTTCACAGAAAATATATTCGCCATATGACCAGTGTTCATTGTTAAAAGAGATTTACGTTCAAATGGATCCCAGATAATTAGACGCCGATCATCTGAACCACTAGCAAGATAGGAACCACGCTCGTCCCATTCTAAGCAGTTAACACAACCATGATGACCCTAAAAAATTATAAAGTAAAAATTGACACTTACCTGAAGGCTAGTTTCTAAACCTAGTCTATTGACTAGGTGTTGATTGATTTGTTGACATCTGACATAATTAACTGGACTTAAGATCTAAACAATAATGAAGAAAATGCAGATTACGTAGTTGAAGAGAAAAACTGGGAAATTCGGATTTAGTAACTAGTATAAAATCCATACAAAAATTTATTTTAATTTTCAGTCTCACGCAGATTCGAGAATTGAGTAACATCAGCTATTTGGCGGTTGAAAAAATATTAATTTAGAGTGAGTTTGAATCCATGGGGTTATGGAACTGTCTGAGCAGCTCGGTTAATAAAGTGTAAGACGGCTAGTTAGAGACAAATAAATATGATAACTTGTACAATACCCCGCGATTAAACTAATGACTTACTGAATAATAACCGACATCATTTGACTAATCACTGGTAGAGGTCATCCACATTCAAGGTTTCCGACATTTTGCTAACGAGTCCTAACATGATTGAAGTTTAATTCTAGGACTTTGTGTTCATCGACTCCAACCGTAAAATATATTGCCCTTTGATCTAATGGTCCGAAATTAAGGAAAATCGAGCCAATTTACTTAAGTGATAAGCTTTATGTTTTATTTTGTTTAAATCGTATGTTTATACTCAGAATGAGTAAACAACCAACGAAAAAGACTTTATGAAACCATCAAGTTCAATGAAATGTTTTATAAACACATTTTGTTTCTTGTGTTATCTGTGTTAACATAATAACATAACCGTTGTTGCTATCTTGATGTGGTGGTCGAGCTTGCTCATCGTAATAAACCAGTCGAGCCATACTGGCTGGAACAATCGTTTCTCAAAGTCCTACCATGCCAAACAGGTCGGTTAGGGAGCGGTAAGACTAAAAGCAACAAATCCAAGGTCTGAGGGCGAAGTCGTACTGTTGACTGTACAGAGGTGTGACGGTAGTAATGCGTTCCCCTTAGACAACCCGCATAACAGTGATGCTGCCCCCAAATGCCCTGGTATGGCCGAGAGTGGGGAGGGTCCGCTCTCACATGGCCACGCGTACATAGCCTCTGCCAGAGAAGTCCTACCCACCGCCTTCTCGTGGAGGTGTTGTTTACGAAATTGAGAGGACGAAAAGCGAATGTCCGGCGCTTTAACCGGATTGGTGGACATGGAGAGTCCACGTAGAGAAGCTGGAAAACCCTGATTCCAAACCAATTGTGCACATGGGCTCCAGTATCCTGAGGGAACAAATGGCGTATGAACCAATCGTTGGTCACCGGCTACCATAAGACTGCATCTCCTTACGTTGCTCCACTGCCTTGTGGATCAGATTTTTAGGTCGAAGGCTCGGTATGTGGCCCCCTAAAAAACCACCTGCTTCGGTTTGGGCACCCGGGCAGTGTCGCAGCCCACACGCAAATAATGAACTCTCTATATCTATGGAGACTACTTTTCTCGCTTCGAATAACAATCAAATGATTATTATTATTATTATTATTATTATTATTATTATTATTATTATTATTATTATTATTATTATTATTATTTACCACATTATTCACCCTCTTTTATACTTATACAGCGGCTCGTCTTTGGTGGAAATTCGACTGTATCTAAACGTTCTCGAGTCACTGTCCGGTTGAAAATTGTATGTTACCACCGAATATAAGTACTGCAGCAGTTTTTCTGAAACCACGTGCACCATTCAAACTGGCTGCCTTCAACGTTCGCACACTTATGCAGGTCGGACAACAGATAGGGCTGGCTATGTCTTTAGAAAGCCTTAATATCGAAGTTTGTTGTCTATCCCAGACCCGTATTCAAGACTCTGGCGAAGTACTACAAATTCGCTCTCCATTTGTCGCTTCGAAAAGCTTGTTTTACGTGCGCTTGTCCAGAGACCCTGTGGCATCTTCGTCTGGTCTTGCTGGCGTTGGTGTCGCACTAAGCGCTAGAGCTGAGGCAGCACTAATCGATTGGATCCCCATTAACAGTCGGTTATGTGCTGTTAGATTAGAAATTTCCATCAAAGTGAGAAGAAATCGGCGTGAGAAACGATGTCTTTTCGTCACCTCCGCCTATGCCCCGACAGATTGCAGCCCGGATGCAATCAAGGATGAGTTTTACTACCAGTTATCTGTTCTTCTCCAGAAAGTGTGTTCGACAGATATTGTAGTACTAGCCAGAGACTTGAATGCTCAGGTCGGGCGTCTAGGCACAGAAGAGAACCGTTTAGGTGGCCGATGGGGACTCGTTGGTCGCAGGTCAGATAACGGGGACCGTCTACTGCAACTATGCACAGACCACAACCTGTTTCTGGCTAGCACTATCTTTCGGCACAGTTATCGCCGATGTGCCACCTGGCGTCCTCCCTCTGCATCCCAAGCCTGGACTTAGATTGATCACATCGCGATCAGCTACCGCTGGCGTGGTTGCGTACAAGACTGCCGCTCCTTTTGGAGTACCTGTCTGGCCTTTGACCATGCTTTGGTCTGCGCCAATCGTACCTTACTTTTCAGTGGACAAAGAAGTGACCGCCAACAACGGATTGATGTTAGCAAGCTGGTTGCAACTTCTGTTGCTAGTAAGTATCGAACCGAGCTGGCTTCTAGGCTAGCTACCATTCCACCGAAAAGTATAGATGAGCATTGGTTGCAATTGCATGACGCCATGAAAATGGCGAGTAAGGCCTCTTGCGGCTTCGCGAAACGTCCCGCTTATAAGCACCAGGTTTCTTCAGGTACCTTACAACTTATTGAAGCCAGTCGGTCTACTCCGAGTGACCGTGAGTTTGACCACAAACGAAGGATGTTACGTAAGGGATTCGAGCAAGGCTTGCGTAAGGACCAAGAAGCCTGGTGGTCGAAGCGTGCTAATGAGTTGGAAGCAGCAGCTGCATCTGGTAATTACCGGAAGCTCTTCCAACTCATCCGAGCCACTGGCAGCAAGAAGTCTGGTGTGAGCGAAACAATCTGCGAGGATGATGGGGTGCCAATCACTAACGTCCATCGACGTCTTGGACGATGGGCAGAATTCTTCGAAGGGCAGTCCAACTGGCCTGCTGCTCCTGTAACAACGATCAGACTGTCCTGCCCTCCATGGCCGACGACGACGACTGGACCACAAAATTAGGCGGAAGTCCGCAAGGAACTTCAACTCTTGAGGCGCTACAAATCACTAGGCCCAGATGACTTACCTCCGACTCTTTTTAAAGATGGTAGTGACTTTCTGGCTAAGGAATTGACGACGTTGTTTACAAAGGTTTAGGAACTAGAGAGTGTACCAACGTCATGGAATGAGTCGATAGTTGTCCCTATCTTTAAAAAAGGGTTCACGTCATTCCTGTAACAACTATCGGAGGACAGGTCTACTTCCCATTGCGTCAAAGCTATTGCCTTCCGTCATATTTCGTAGGTTGTTCAAAACTCGAGAAAGATTGACTCGCAAGGAGTAGGCTGGGTTTCGTTCTGGTCGAGGATGTATTGATCATATCTTCACCCTACGCCAAATGTTAAAACACCGTCATACTTATCACAGGTCAACAATCGTAATGTTTCTTGACATCAGGGCTGCCTTCGATTCGTTGAATAGCACTGTTCTCTGGGATTGTCTACTGAAGAAGGGTGTGCCTGAGAAGTTTATTAACATCCTAAAAGCCCTATATACAAACACCTCAGACAGAGTGAGGGCATACAACCACCTCTCTCCATTGTTCCATTCAAGCAGTGGGGTTAGACAGGGTTGCCCAATCTCACCATTCCTCTTCAACTTTGACATCGATGACATTCTAGAAACAGCTCTGATGGATGTAAGTAATGGCGGTGTTGATCTGCTGCCTGGAGAAAGACTTCTCGACCTTGAGTATGCGGACGATATTGTCTTACTGTGCGATAATGCCCAAGACATGCAATCCGCACTTAATCAGTTGGCAATCAGTGTCCGTAAGTATGGTATGTGCTTTGCACCTTCGAACTGCAAAATACTTCTACAAGACTGGCAGGATTCTAATCCTGTACTCACCCTGGATGGTGAGCAGATAGACGTAGTCGAGAAGTTTGTGTATCTGGGTAGCTGCATAAGTGCTGGTAGTGGGGTCAGTGATGAGATCAATGCACATATAGTGAAAGCCAGAGCGACTTATGCCAATTTGGGCCACCTTTGGCGTCTTCGTGATGTTAGTCTGGCTGTAAAAGGTCGGATCTACAACGCGTCGGTGACAGCAGTCTTGCTCTATGCTTGTGAAACCTGGCCTCTCCGAGTTGAGGACGTTAGAAGACTCTCTGTGTTCGATCATCGCTGTCTCTGAAGGATTGCTGACATCCAGTGGCAACATCATTTTAGTAATGCAGAGGTTCGGCATCGTGTGTTCGGACAGAGACGATAATTCAATTCGTGTCACCATCTTCAAACATCGACTTCGGTGGTTTGGACATGTTCTACGAATGTCGTCACAGAGAGTTCCACATCGTGCATTATTTGCCGACTCTGGGACTGGTTGGAAGAAGCGGAGAGGTGGTCAGTGCATGACATGATGTCGTGGTATGAAAGAAAGCTGCAAAGGACTGGCTTCTGTCGGTCCTTCACGACTCCCTGGCTGGGGTCCGAGAGATGATGGAACACAGTGACTAGAGACGTTATCAGATATTGCTCAGAATAGAAGCCAGTGGCGATCCTGCTGTAAACTTCTTTTACTTTCTTCATAAAACGTGGTTGTGTCTCCCTTAACTCAGTCAGTCAGCTACAATGTAGGGCCAGGCACATATGTGCATCGGTCCAGGTTTCCATACCGCATCAGCACAACAAGATAAACACCGGATTCATAGCAGTGGTTAGGTCAAAGGTAGTAATATATAAGAGAAAGATTGCATATAGAGATATAGTACAAGAAGAAAGAATTGGTTCGTAGAAAGAAAGATATGAAGCGATTTTAATCTCTTAGTTTAAGGGAAGACAGGGAGTGTATACACCGACGCCATTGTGATCGATTCTGAGCCATATCACAAAGAGTCTCCAACCATTGGTTACGATAGTCACGCGGACCCCAACCAAGTAGTCTGCATCTACCAACATGGCTCAGACTAGAAGTTAGTGACTTAAAGTACTGATGCCACGTTTTGGTTTGGCCGCCCCTAACTTTCTTCCAACCATTTCCAGTACCGGATAGCATTGCACGTCGTGGTAATCGGTGTTCAGGCATACGTAACACGTGGCCCAACCATCTCAGTCGATGAAGATTCACAACCTCATCAACAGATTTACCATCATTCCCTAATACCCTGCGTCTAACCTCATTATTACTTATCCGGTGATCCCAGCAGACGCCAGCAATATTTCTAAGGCATCTGTGGTCAAATACTAATAGCTTACGAGTGTCTTCTACTCTTAATGGCCATGTTTCGCTGCCGTAAATTAAAACATAACGGACTGCCGCGCAGTATACTCGTCCTTTTATTGATAGACGGATATCTCGCCTTCGCCATAGGTGACGCAAGTTGGCAAAAGCCAATCGAGCTTTTCGAATCCGTGCTGAGATTTCGTCCGATACCAACCCATTAGGGCTGATCAGACTTCCAAGATAAGTGAAGTTGTCAACGCGTTCGACTACTTCACTCCCTATCCTTAGTTCAGGTGTTAACGCAGACCAGTCCTGAAGCAACAACTTGCATTTAGAGGGAGAGAAGCGCATTCCAAACATCCTGGGATTGTTGCTCAGTGCTACCAGAAGACTCTGCATTTTGTCAGCGTCTTCACCAAACAGGACTATGTCATCTGCGTATTCTAAGTCGATAAGTGCACCTCCTGGTAGGAGATCAATACCCGAAAATTCAGTCGACGAGAACATTGTTTCCATCAATAGGTCTATGATGAAGTTAAACAAAAATGGAGAAAGTGGACAGCCTTGACGGACACCACTTGAGGTTGTAAAAGTAGATGACAGTTCGCCGTAATCTCTGACTCGACTGGTAGTGTTCGAGTGAAGAGCCTTCACAAGGTTTATGTACTTCTGAGGTACGTTTTTCAATGACAGACACTGCCACCGAATCTCGGGGTCTACCGAGTCAAATGCTGCTTTTAAGTCAAGAAAGACCACCATTGTCGGACGCCGATAAGTATGCCTATGTTCTAGAACCTGACGAATGGTGAATATGTGGTCGATGCAGCCACGACCAGGTCTGAAGCCAGCCTGATTTTCTCGTGTTTGCAGTTCACGAGTCTTAGTTAAGCGTCTGATAATTATCGAGGCTAGTATTTTAGATACTATATTAGTTAAACTAATCCCTCTATGGTTGTCACAGGATGATTTTAACCCTCTCATATATATTCGGACGATAAGTGATTGTGATCAGTCAGATGGAATAACGTCTAACTCCCAAATCTTAGTTAAAATATTAGTCAACCTAATCGCTAAAATTGGACCACCATCCTTAAAGACCTCTGGAGCCAGTCCATCTGGACCAGCTGCCTTTCCTCGTTTCAGATTAACTATAGCCTTTTAAACTTCAGCAAGAGTTGGGGGACCTACTTCAATGTTCCATTCACACTGTCTGAGAATGGAGGGTAGTTGTAGAGTAGCTGAAGGCCAGCTGAACTGTTCTCTGAAATGTTCCGCCCATCGTTCTAAACGCCTGGACTGGGAGCAGATGAGTGTATCGTCTTTTTCCGATATAATCTCACTTACACTTGACTTATTAATTCCAGTTTCTTTTATTAGTCTGTAAAGCTGTCTTGTGTTCCCTATAGTCGCCGCCTTTTCCATCTCTTTTGCTTTCGTTGCCCACCACTGCTCACGGTCGTTTCTTAGACTTTCTTAACCTAGATCTGATTTGTTGTCGCTCTTCCTCATGTTCGGAACCTGATGGGACGAGTTTGCGAGAATCCATCAGTGTGATAGACTTTGAAGAAATCCACTGGTTCTTTGTAACTGAAAGACTTCTGATTGTACCTTTCCGTTCCCTCATTATTACTATTATTATTACTACACTACCTTACACCAACCTCTTCCTTATCTTTTTTTCTTTCTTTTCAAATTCTCATTGTTTTGTGTGGCGCATATATATTGGCGTTCTCTTGTACCAATATTTATGTGTTCAAATAAATAAATAAATAAATTTCTTCTTTCTAGTATGTAAACAAATATCTTCAGAATCTTGGCATCGTCCCAGTCTTGACAATCAAATAAATCCAAGACTATGTGCTTGTTTAAACTGCTCATGTAATCGAATGTTTGTTTTTATTTCAGTAATTCATATTTTCTTCCTGAATCGTATCTTCGATGCCTAGTCTTTCTTATTCACACTGATAATGTTACAACCTCTACTATTCTGGGATTTGGCCTGACAATTTTATCTCTATGCTAATGGGTTATGGCAATTTTAACTAATGTATATACGTACAAGTTCACGTTAAGACTGAACAAAAGAGATTGAAACATTCTGGTAGCGATTAACCATGGATATACAATCCCGAAACACAACCTATGAGGATGGAAACCAATATCGATTTAAGGTAAATGCAATGTACACTTTCCACACTTTTTTTATTACTTTGTGAACTTTGCGTGGAATTTTGCTATGAATGTGTTTAGTGATAGTCACTCAGTCTGTGAATCCTTATCATTTTAACCGATATGTAACAACTGGGGTTACGACCAACACAGGTTCCTACATAAAACCAGATTTATCTCTAATTAGCGCGACAGAAACGAGAAGGATACAAGCAGTTTCGTACCCTGTATTGAAGTCGAAGTTTATAATAAATTAATTTAATCCATGTACAATAACAGTGAGGAATACTGAGTAGTGATATTGTTTTGAAAAGATGGAAAGCAAATGTACGCACAAAGGAATGGTGGAATCCAAGACTGGGGAGATAAATAGTAAATAAATCTGCGCCATTGTGAACGATTCTGAGCCATTTCAATTATGGTCTTCAGCTACTGATTACAATTATCATACGGACTTGAATTAGGTAGTTGGCATCTATCAACATGGGTCAGACCAACGGTTAATGACTTCCTAAACTGATGAAACGTGTCAACTTAGCCTCTACACTTTTCGGAACTTACTACCGCTATGGGCTGCCTAAACTACCTCACTAAAGGTGGAGTTATGAAACAAGTCGGAATTATAGAAGTGACTTGTTGGTCAAACCACTTTAGTTATCACTATCCAATCATCCGTTTGATTATATATTGTAGTCTGAACAGCTGGTACACATATTTATACTTGACTACTAAGATGAACAAATTAAAGTCAAAACTTTAGGTTTAGGAATAATTGCTGAAAGAGCAACTGTGGTGAGAGGATTATAAGTACAGTCTTTTAAAGATAAACGACAACTTATAAACATTTCTGTGGTATAAATGGATGGAAAGTAATGAGACAAAACCAGACCAATTTTTAGAAGGAGGAAGTTAGTTGACCTAAGGAAATGAATGAATTAGGTTGCATATTTCGGCAGACTCAAACATGAAAAGCGACCACAAAATGACAAGGATGATCAAGTAATTTATCAATCGTAAGAACTACTAATCCGGAATTAAGATCCTATAATTATGCATGAAATATGGAAGATTACAAAAACTAACCCCTCTAGAAAGACCTTCATATTGGTGAAATACAGAATGTCCAGTCATTTATACAAATCAAGCCCAATTAGTCAAGTAGCGTCATCCTAGAATCCCCATCATTGAAATGTCAATAAAAAGATTACCAAGTAACCTTCAATGTACAGTCTTCAGTCTTCAGTAATAAGGATAGTAGGTTGGTGAACCTGTATTAATCCTGACACATTGCTTTCCAGTGAAGGTCCAGCTTCTCCTTGAAAGTATTCACTGATTGGGCTGATACCACTTGCTCGGGTGAGGCGTTCCAATCATTGACTACTCGATGAGAAAAACGGGACCCCGCTTTAGGTTTATTGGATCGTGGTTTATGAAGCTTCTTGCTATGACCTCGGAAATTATTAGTGCTGGAGGGAGCAAAAAGATAAGACATATTAACACCCAAATCATAATTAAAAATACGAAATGTCAGTATGTCACCTCATGTACTACGATACGACAAGGGGAAAATGTTTAGGAGTTTTAAACGCCCATCGTAAGGGAGTCTAGAAAGACCCTTCACTAATTTCGTTCCCACACGCTGGACATTCTCAAGGGAGTTAGTATCCATTACCAGACATGGGCTAGCTGCTTAGATACAGTACTCTAAATGTGGTCTTACATATATGGGATACGGAATTCGAAACTTTTTTTCGTCAAAAGATTTGAACGCTCGGCGAATTGACCATAACGCACGAAAACCTTTGACAGCGGCTGCTTTGCAATGTGTAGGTGTTCTTAAATCATGACTTATTACTACTCCTAGGTCTTTATGCTCTTGAACGCATGGAAGAGGTTTACCCTCAATAGTATAAAGGTAACTATTACCTTGACCGATGTGCATTAGCCCACTCTTCCTACCACTGATTTCTAAGCCCCACTCTCGATCCCATCTAACTAAACCGTCTAAGTCAGCTTGAAGACCCAGAAGATCAGCCGCACCTTTTATTGTTCTCCAGATTTTTACATCATCCGCAAACAATAATGTCGACGACTTAAGCAACAGCGGTAACTCATTAACGTAGAGAAGGAAGAGCAGAGGGACTAAGATGGTGCCTTGGGATACACCACTTTTGAACGGCTTCCAATCGGATAGCGTTCCGTTGACCCTCACTCTCTGTCTGCGGTCACATATGAAGTTGCCTTTCCACTCCTGTACAGTACCTATTATTCCGAAGCCCGTGAGCTTCTGCATAAGACCTACGTGTGAAACCTTGTCAAATGCTTTGTTAAAATCTATGAATATCACATCGACAGACAGACCGTTATCTAGGGCTGCTGTCCATTCCTCTCTCACAATAAGCAAGTTAGTCAAGCATGAACGCTTGTTACGAAATCCGTGTCGCTCAGGAGCTAACAGATTGTGTAAATCTATGTGGCTTAGCAACCTAAGCCGAATTATCTTTTCCAGTAACTTAACGACTATGCTAGTTAGTCTGACAGGCCGGTAGTTAGATACTACTGTCTCTGACCGTCCTTAAATATAGGACTGACTATAGAGTCCTTCCAATCCCTATGGAGTTGAGCGAGTGAAAGGGACATGTTGAAGAGTTTCGCGAGCGGTTTTGAAATAATGTCCGCAGGAGATGACAGCAACCGTGGATGTAAACCATCGGAGCCCAGTATCTTACCAGGTTTGAGGTTAGTTATCAACGGAACTACAGTTTCCTCAGTCACCTGTACAGATCCAATGGTTGGTATTTCGGTGTGAGTGAGACAAGTATTTGCTACAATAAACGTAGAGTAGACTACGCTAGCATAGTCTTAAAAAGTCTCAGCTTTTGCTCAATCTGATTCAGCTAGTAAATCTGAATTTTCGTGTAACAGTAACAGGGGAATACCATCACTACATTTCATTCGCTGTTTAACATACGAAAACAATCGTTTCGAACAAGTACGGACATCATTTACTAACTGTCGTTCGTAAGTGGTACGGGATTTGGCTATGGTTTTCCTACAGATATTACGGAATTTTCGAAACTCACGCTTAAATGGTGCATGACCTGTCAACAAGAATAAGTTCCAGAAATGTTTCCTACGCTTTAACAGCTTCCGGGTTTCTTTATTAATCCATGGAGGGCAATGTGATAGCTTACGTGCTGACCATGGGATTATCGGTGACGTTACGGACTCGAATGAAGCCCTAAACTTATTCCATTCATCTTGGATCAATCCATCCGCGTTGACCGACCAATCAGTCGAGATAGCACAGTTTCTGATTGCCGGAATATTGGCTCGCCAGATATTGGGACGGGGTGGAGCAGATACGAATCGTATACCATGTGTCCTAAACTTAAAGTGAATTACAACGTGACCACTGATTACTAGTGGGGGAAGGTGCTGAATATCAAGGACTTCCTCACAGTGGTGAGTGAGGGGGAGGTCCAGAAGTGACGGATCATGATTGAAATCAATATGTACCGGTTCTGTGATACATTGTACAAGCGCACACTGAATAACGGTAGATAAAAGGTCGCTATCGAAACCACTACCTGGAGCTGTAAGCTCTATCCAGTTGATATGCGGTGCGTTGAAGTCCCCAGTGATGAGACAACATTCTGCCATACTCCAAGAACAGATGTGTCTTAGGATAAAGTCGTCAGAAAGACAAAACAGACTACGGCATATTCCCCCTATAGTCACTAACCCATTTCTAGATTTATTCTTACAACATGCAACCTCACATGTGCCACTGATATGAGTCTCCAATATGATTGATTGTACGCGAAGGTGATCTCTAACTTATAATATTATACCTCCCCCTTTGCGACTTGAAACTCTATCACTTCTAATACAGATATAGCCTCCAATGATGGGAGAACAGTCCATAATTCACAGGTTGAAATCATGAGTCAGTTGAAACTAGACCACCATGGAAAACCTGGAAGCACTGGACGGCCGTTTCGTCCTAGTATGGGACTCCTCAGCAGCGCGCATCTACGATACCGCACCCCGCGGGATTCGAATCCAGGACCTACTGGCTTCGCGCGCGAGCACATAACCACTAGACCACTGAGCCGGCATCCAACGGTGTTAATGTCTAAATTTAACCAATCCACGAAGTTGCGCCACCGTACACCATCGTCTTCAGTGAGCTGTTATCCTGCAACAGACCTGGTTGAACTCCACTGGTCTAGCGGTTAAGTGCTCGCTCGCGAAGCCAGTAGGTCCTGGGTTCGAATCCCGCGGGGTGCGGTATCGTAGATGCGCGCTGCTGAGGAGTCCCATACTAGGACGAAACGGCCGTCCAGTGCTTCCAGGTTTTCCATGGTGGTCTAGCTTCAATTGACTCACGATTTCGACCTGTGAAATTTCTAAAACTCCCCACAAAACCCATTTTGATAACAGTCTATATCTACGATGAACCAAGTTTCTGTGTCAACGATTATATCGGGATATAATTCTTCCACCATCAGACTTAGCTCGAACGTTTTATTTCTAAGACAATGAGCGTTCGTGTAGCACACAACTAAGGTGTTTTGGCAATTAATCGTTCTACCCATACAGGTCTCGGAAGAATTGGCTTAACTGCGGGTCGCACAGGTAGATGTCTGGTTTGCGCCGTGACAGCACTTACGAGACTAACGCAATCTTCGCTATCAGTGCCAATGTTACCAACACGGCCCTCATCAACCTCATTATTAGCTAACATCAGGAGGCTAACTGCTTCCTGGATGAGTAATGTATTGCTAGAGCAACAAAAACTACAAAGCCAATGAGAGTTGGGCTTTGAGTACCTTTTACATACACTGGGGCTTAATCGGGTACACATCTTATGGAACCACTTATTACACTCATCACATTGCATCCCTTTCTCCAAGGGAAATAAGCAATATGATTGTCCACATTTATGAGCAGATCTAGCCATCTTGAAAATCAACTACAACGGTGACGCAAACAGGATATGTAAAAGGATTCTCAAACCTTAAGTAAATACATCATGTAAAAGTCGACCAAGTATGCTTCGATGCAATAAATACACAAAAGCAAAATCGAAACACTTAATACAATATCACTTCAACTGGGGTAAATGCAATTAAAGTGTAAACAGCAGTTTAGATGCATAATTTACGATCAAAACAGTTAATTAACTCAACAAGAAACAATACCACTGTCCTTTACAAATGAAGAACTAGTGTAAACCAGTTAATCTCTTCGCCTTATCTTCTTGGTGTTACGATGTGTTCATAGATATCTAGATGCTTCTAGTGTGTGTAGCCTAACAACACAGCTGAGTTCATCCAATTGAACTCGATTGTCCACCGACTAGTATTTCAGTTTCAGTTTGGAAAAGACAGAAGGCTAGGTGGCATGTGGTAGTCCAGCCCAGGTAAAAGATGTTACATGGTTGTCGAAAGTACTCGTAAAGCTATCCGCCAAGGTGGTCACACCAGCTGAGAGGGCATTCCAGGTATGTGTAAATCTGCCTCGTTAGTAGCCTACTGATACAAAATTCGTCGTCTGTTGTCTCGCAAGGTTCTATCTTCAAGTTGGCCGAGATGTTTTGTTACGATGATCAAGAATAACTTAGAGCAATTAGTATGTTGTAAACCAATACCAGGTCGCCTCGTATTCTACTTCAACCTAGTGAGTGCGATCGCAAACAGTGAGATAAATCCTTAGAGAATTGGGCCCTCAATGCAATTCTAGTGTCCGTGAAATTTCGCTGTGCTAGAGACAAGTCGCTTGTTGGGCTGAACCATTTCTAGGTTGATAGATGAATCACCAAGCGTCGAACAACTATTCAAGCTCTGTCAAGGTTGCTGATGACTGACGTGAACTAACTAAGTGCACAACATGGACAGACCCATGCAGTGGTGATCTCTCTTTGTACTTCGCCAAGCCGTTCTCACTAATATGCGTTGTTCTAGCAATATTATTGCTTATTCTAGTTAGTCACCATGGCAAACTACCCAAGTGATTATCATAACGGGACAACGCACGTTAAGTATTGACCGTGAGCTGCGATTTCAGCTAGGTCATATTATTCCTGTCCATTGAGGGTACACAGCAATCATCAATGCAGATCACTA